ATCCAAAAGCTGACAAAAATTTTGAAAAGCGCTCATAATCTGAACTCATAGATTAAAAAGAACATTTTGCTAATGAGAAACAGGCTGGAAAGTGATCAAGGATAAACATTTTCAGAGATCTAAGATATTCTACTATAGGACTACCAGCCGAAAAATTTTCTCTTGAACGTCAGATCCATCATGTAGTTACAGGATTAAAGTAGCGAAATATTTTGCATTTATTACCTGGTTTGTTTAACCTACTTTGACATTTTCTTGAAATAATGAGGTAGAAATCACAAATTAGATTAAATATCAATTACTTTCAATATTCGGGTGACTGGCACTAAGCAAACAGCTACCTGCAGATGGATTATTTAACCAAGAGGTGGAACATAGAACTCATTTTGACATCGGCATCAAGAAGAGAAAGACGATGAATTTCTTCATCATTTCCAGTGTACTCTTAGCAACATTTTACCTGGCTAGCGGTGCTCCTGCCCCAGGAAAAGGTGTTGCTGTCAAAGTTCCAGAAATAAAACCGATTGGGTCTTCCAGTGAGGATCCGCAGCCAAAGCCAGGAGACGTCCAACCACAAACGAAGCCAGATAATGAAGATGGACTGGGTGGAGAGGAAATAAAAGAAGACGAGGAGAAAACAGAAAATAACGGTAACATACAATGCAACTTTAAAATATTGTATACAATGCAACTTTCTACAAAATCTATCATTATTAGACACAATGAAGTTTTACAAAATTTACGGGAAAAATTGAAGAAATTTTTGTGCTTTAACAAGAAGAAATGATACGACTGGTTTTGGAAAAGTGACGAAAAAAAAACATGTGAGTAGTTGTAAGAGAATGAAATTACAGATCTTGTTTGAGTTTTAAGGACAATTGCATGGTTCATGCCTAGCTTGGCTAGGAAAACGTGCTTCTTCTCTTTACTAGTTTGACAAGCTTATGTGTCTGAAACGTAATATCAATTACGTTAGAAGTAAAATAGATAATTATAAAGAGTAAATATAACTATAGAGAAAATATATTTAGATATCCGAGGAGCAAAATAGATAAGTTTGCAGAGTAAATATGAACTATTTTTGTTGAAATATGGTGGATATTGGCCACATTTCCAATGTCTGTATCATTGCACAGGAAGAGCTATCCTAATCCTTACAAAAATGCTTTTAAGATCACAGTTGCTATTATATGATTATAAAAAAAATGATTTAAGTTAATGATAAATAAAGTGCTTAAAATTGCTTAAAATTTAGCATTTAGTTATACAATACAATGTGAAGACATTATTTGCTTACTACGATGCCTTATAATGCAGCATTTGATTTGGCTATAGATCCACCAATGAAATCGATAATCTTTTAAATAAATATACTTATTTTATTTTTTCAGTTTTTAAAGGGCCAGAAACAACAGAAGAAGAAGAAGAGGAAGAAATTGCAGAGTTGAACCGTGAGTGACTTGTTCCTTAGGAAATATCCTTAGCAAATTCTAAATGGATTAATGACGCATTAAATAAGTGAAATAGAACAAGATCTGTGAAAGTATGCAAAAAGGAAGTATGAAATACCAGTATATTTAAAACCTGCAATTAGAAGGAAAGAAATATTATAGAAAAAGACTGAAATAAAGGTGAAACAAAGAAGGTATGTAAGAAGCATCGGCGATGAAAAATCAAGACCTACAAGTAGAGGTGCAAAAAAGGTCAAATAGTTTGTGAGTTGGGGTATATATATTTCGGGCACCCTTCTAAAGTTAATCACAATCGAAAGATAGATTCTTGTTCTCTAAATTTCTTTAATCAAATTTTTAGCTGATCTGTTTGAAGGAGATTTGAAGCTCACAAAAAGCGAAATTGACAAGATCAAAGACAACACCATTTCAAAGAAGGATACCATTGCCTTTGCAGAAAAAAAGTGGCCTAACGCCAGAGTTCCCTTTGTAATCGATGCCAAATTTGGGAAGTATCAGTTTCGTTCAATCATCTTTTATTGTTTTTCATACAAAAGTTGTTTTTTTTTCATCAAAGGTGCAGTCACATATTGCTATGAAAACTGAAGTGTACTGCTAAATTCTTCAAGCAGACTAAATGATTTCAATGATTTTTATACCTTTGTCTGCTATATTTGGTAGATTGAAATTCATGATTCTTAAATGCCACAACGAGGTGTTCATAGTTTGTATTTCTTACTGTATTGTGCTGTATTATGCTGTATTGTGCTGTATCATGCCGTATTGTACTGTATTGTGCTGTATTGTGCTGTATTATGCCGTATTGTGCTGTATTGTGCTGTATTATGCCGTATTGTGCTGTATTATGCCGTATTGTATTGAAATGTGCAGTATTGTGTGTGTTATAGTGTATTTTTGTATAGTATAAGAGTGTTTGTAATGTTGGATGTGGAGGCAACTTTACAACGTTTTGTTTTGTGCTTCCACCTCAACAATAACTAATTTAAGTTTTGTTTTAGTTTTATTGCTGCTTTAGATTAAAACTATTGCTTTAATTGGAAACCTTTATTATCCCAAACTCCACATGGAAAGGATTAAAAACTATTTCCTTTGCAAGACTTTAAATATAAGGCAAAAACTATTGAGCTAGATTTTAATGATAATTCACAGTGACAAGAATCTATCAAATGAAGTTGACTGCTAACAAATTTTAAATCACTTTGGTATTGTCTTCTTTTTAACAGATAGGGCAAGAAAACAAGTTTTGAACGAAGCTATGAGGCAGTTTAAAGAGAAAACATGCTTAAGATTTGTGCCAAAGACCAGACGAGATAAAGACTACATAAAATTCATTGTTGATGAGTAGGTATCCTGCTTGATGGAAATTCTTCATTTCATCAGCCAATTTATCGACTTGTTGACTTATTGATAAAGCTTATCAATAAATGATGCTAGTAACACTTTAATTACAGGGGATGTTATTCAACGGGGGTTGGTAAGAATGCCGAAGGAGGTGTTCAATACGTCTCGATAGGTGATGGATGCAACTACATTGGAACAGTGATACACGAAATGATGCATGCTATTGGATTCTTCCATGAACATACACGCCTTGACAGGGACCAGTTTGTTACTATCAACTGGCAGAATATTGAGAGAGGTTTGTCAAAGCAACTATCACTTGTAAAATATATGTTCATGGACAGCCATCAGAAAGCTTATTTCTTTATATTATCAAATTTTGTAGACATGGTTTTCAAAAGACAAACAGAATGGCATAGAATTCCTATATGGTGATGGGATAAGTTGCTGAATCCACAATCTCCGTTTTAGTAAAGACCTAAACAAGCAACCAAAATGAAAATTTCAGTTGTTAGCTTGGTAATAAAGTCGAATTGACACACCTAACCACTTTCCAGCGTGAAAGGAGTTTTGCATTTGCCAAAAATCGAAAAAATGTTTGAGGACGTACAAAGTTCACCCTTTCTTCCCAATTGTTTATCAAGTTGTCATATAGAAAAATTCAGAAAAGATCCAGCTGGCTAAGAGCAGGTTCCCTAACAAGACATAAATCAATTTAAGAATCTTCTCTGAGCTAATGAGCTGAAAGATTTGAATTTATGAGTAAAGACAGATGATCTTTGCAAGCGAAAATATCTTGGAAATGATTGGATAGAAAAAGTTATTATTTTTTACTTACCCCTCTTAATCTCTGTCGAAAGTGAGTAGATTTGGTCCAAAATTGAATAAAAGGGTGTCAAAGCAAAGTGCATAGCAGAAAACAACAGTAAGGATTCTTCAAACACATCAAGAACACGTCATTAGAATTTCCACATTCAAAGAAGCTAAATCTGAGTTTACGCCTAAAAACCATGACGGTCATATAGTCAAAGTACCGTGAGGTTGACAAATTAAAACAAAAGAAGTAAAAATACGCGCAACACCCCTGTTTTTTATTTTTTAAGGAGGGTTTTCAAAATTTCAGGAAATTTCCGGGAGGAAGAATGAATTCTTTCCTGACATTTGTTACGAGCAATGTTGATACTGATTTTACCATAAGCATACAGATACACGTAATGAGTGCATTATTACCAATACCCGTAAGCTAGTTGACATTGAAACAAGCCTAGGTTGAATTACAAAAGGATCTAAACAGGGAGCATATTAAAAGATAACTAGTTCAAAATGCAATATTTCTAGCCATCCAAAATAAATCATATATTCCAGCATATTTTTATCAGCCAGTTTCAAAGAAATCCATTTTCTGCAGGAAGAGAAAGTCAATTCCAGAAATACGCTCATGGTGAAGGAGATTACCTTGGGGAACCATACGACTATGACAGCGTGATGCACTACCCACGGTATGGCTTTGGAATTAAATTGAATGGGAAAACATTACCAACAATCGTTCCAAAGGATAAGCCATGGAGGAAGATTGGCCAACGGCAAATGTTCAGTGATATTGATCTTCGACAGATTAACAAGCTGTACCAGTGCAGGAAGTTTACTTCAAAATATTGAAATTATGTTATTGAGAATCCTTTATTGATATGAGGCATATGAAAGGATCAAACATTACATATGATGTCTTTTTTATGTTTTTCTTAAAACTACCAAAAATAAAATAAATTGTAGCACTTAATAAAGAAAAAAATAGATAAAGCATCTGGGTGACAAAGTGTCCAAGGAGACAGGCCCTGAATTGTCCTTTCTCCGTAGTTTCTACGAAGCTTAAATCCTACCCTACCTTTCAAAAATCCTAAAACAAATCTAGTAACCTTTTCGTAGACTCAGATTATACTCTTACCTGCTATAAGGTAACGCTACCATTTAATTTGTTTTTGTTTTATGATGCGCGTTAGTATCTACCAGCATTAAAAAATAAAGAAAATCTTGACAAATTATTTCCTAAAGAACTTTTAAATGTAAAGAACGTTTTTCTTGAAAATATTAAGTTCTATGCTGCAAACCTATGCCATAAAAATGAGTTTATCCTAACTGCAACTCAGTGAAATAAAATGGAAAAACATAGCATATCAAAATAAATTCAAATTCCAATTCCTCTTAGTGATGAAAACGGCATTTTTCACCCAAACCAAATGAGCTATCGTGTTTTGTTTAAAAACATTAAAGAATACAATGCCATACAAAGGCACTTGGCTACAGGCTTTGTATCTTTCTTTGCTTTCGGACGGCATTCCTGATCTTTTTGGGCCTTTAAACAAAAATAGACAGTACCCACGCCACCGGGGGGGGGGGGTGTGGCCATTGCCCCCCAACTTTTTGCGAAGCAAGCAGTTTTAAAGCTGCCGTAAAAGGGGAAAGAAGCCTTGCCTTCTACATTTGCTAGCATTGGCCCCGCCACTTTCGAATTCGTGGCGTGGTCCCTGGTAAACAATACAAAAACCTAGCTCTTATTGTATCCATACTTTTGACTGCATTTCTGGAAAAGTAGAAGTTGAGCATTTTTCAGATTGCAAAAGTCGTTCAAGAGAAGTGACTAAAGTTTGATCAAGGTTCGGAACGCTATGTATTTTAGAACTTGTTAAGTTTACATGCACAAAGAAGGGTTTAGGTTGGGAGTAGAAACTGTTTATTTCAATTTGAAAACTTTTCGCTATAGTTTTTAAACAGGTGAAAGAGGGAGGTTTAGCACTGTCAACATTTATGCAGAGTTGTAAATGGCTAGAGGCTCTAGACGACCTTCCTTTAATTAGCTTCGGAAGGCCAAATCAACAATCCTGTTATTTTTAAAGGAAAGGGATAAGCGATTCTTGATGTAGAAAAGCAAAAAAAAACAGAATTAAATTATTTCATGGCTTGAATATGGAATAAAAAAGTGAAAGTATCGCATACTGAAGTACTTTTCACCCAACACTCTCCAGGATGCAAACGTGGGATAATGCCAATAAGTGAAAAGAAAATTTATATCCAGTTGTGGATCGAAAATAATGTGGAAAAAGACGCATTTGATTAGTTATTTTGTTTTCTTCACCAATCAGCGACCGCAAACCTCTCTCCTAGTTGAAGTGTCCTAAAAAGCAAAAGTGCTCTTTTTTCCACACAAGTCGGAATCCTTTGTTTCGATATGTCTACGATTCGCATATTTCGGTATGTCGACGACACCTTGTCATCTTTAGCTCAAAGAAGGAATGTAACTGTTTTCACAATAAACTTAATTTGTTGCATCGAGCTTTTAAATTTACAATCGAAAAGGAGAAAAATAACTTTTTGTGTCTCTCGATGTTTCTGCATGAATTCAAGTTGTGACAATCCACATAAGTAAGCTGAACAATTTCCCTTAGTGTTATAAGAACGTACTAACGTCGAGCCAACAAGCATTTTGGAAAATCATACTCTTTTTCACGTCTTCGATAATGCGGTATGGCATTTCTTTTCGGCATTATAACCAAAAAGCACTGATGAAACCATTTTTCGTCGCAGAACTGGTGGCAATGGATGCACAAATAAACACAAATTCGTCTTTATAATCAAGAAGTAAACAACCAGTTTTCAGGTTTTAAAGGATATTCAGATTATCTCACATAGTGTAACAAACCTGATAAAGCAGATAAAATGGAGCTTCGTTTGTTTATAGCCACCATTTTGTTATTTATAAGTTTCGCTTGGTGCAAACCACTGATAGAGGAAGGTACCAAACCAGTAAAGCTAGGAAAATCCAAGTTTTATGGCCCTGCCAATTCAGGCCAAAGTAATGGACCAAAAATAGAAGATTTGAGCAAAACTAAAGGAACGAGTGCAAATAAAGATGAAGAAACTGAAGGTGATGTTAAGATTAGGATTTTTTGTGGAATTTAGATAGCAAAGAACATATGTTAAGCAACACAGGAAATTAAATACTAAATAGAATACACGAAAGTGCCTTATTTCTCAAAGTACAGCTGCCTTATGAATGAAGAAAACTCCTGAAGAAACCTTAATAAATAAATGCTTCTAAAATGTTCCTCATCATTGCTGTATTTTGTCCAATAACCATTTCCAAGGGAATTTAGCTGCGGGGGCAAATCTTTGTTTGTAAAAAGAAAAGGACAATTTTTTTAATAATGACTATTATTTTAAACAATGAAAAGCAGAGACTGCAGAAGCACCTGCCCCCTAGTTAGTATGTTGAAAAAGACCCCGTTTGATCAATAATCAATTTGGGAAATTAACAGTGAAATGCACTGAATTTCTATATTTAAAGGGTTAAGTGCTTAAAACGTAAAGTTTGGAGATGTAATGTTTGCGAATTATATTTATATAGGTCAAGTATTCTTATCTTTTATTGTGCTTGGACATTAGCTTCTTTCGTCATGTGACCTAAATTTGCAATATCGCTACTTGGAAAACAGATATTTAATGAGAAATCAATGAAAATAGAGGAAGTAGTAAAAAAAATAGGCTGCCAACTCGTCTATATCTTTTAAAGACGATAGTTCAACAGTTGCGTTCTAAGTTCTATAGAGGTCTACTTTCACCAATTTTAATTTCATCAAATACTTTTGCCAAATCTACTTTCACCATAAACATTATAACTTTTCAGAAAATGAAGAAATGGAAGAACTGAAAGGTCCGCAAACAGAAGAAGAAGAAGAGGCGGAAGAGCTCGCAGAGTTAAATCGTAAGAAGAATATTTACATGGTTATATACAAAAATTGATATTGTTCTGAAAGAGAATTGTAACAAAATTCATGAGTGATTTTGTCAATAACTTATGAAGAAAGTTTTGATCTGAAAAAAATAACATGATCTTAATCAGAATCTAGCATATGCATTATGATAGACATCTTATGATAGATATGATAGAGGAAGTTTTGCAAATAAACATTTAAAGGCAATCTGTCTCGTTGTGGATTGGTTAACGAGAACAATAACTGGAACAATAGCCTAAACACGATTCCAGCGCTCCGCCATATATTTTACAATGCGATAAATTAAAGGGGACTGGAAACAATAAAAAATCTCTTTGTTCTTCTAATCAATCAACGTCATGACAGATTGCCTTTAAGCTTAGCTATTTGTCATTTGTCGCATTTCGCTTGACAAAATAGCCTTGTCAGGTAAATGAAAAATCGACATAAATCATTTTTTGTAAGATCGTATATGACCTCTGCCAATGCAAAATTTCAGTCTCAACAATCTCTTGCAAATTTTTACCTAGCCCATTCGTTTCAAATCGTTTAGTGTCCTCTGTGGTATTAATTGCATTTGATTGTCTATAATTGCCTAATTGTCATTGATCGTCACTCTTGCCAGCAAAGCTGTTCGAGGGAGACTTAAAATTGAGTAAGGATGAGATCGAAAAGTTAAGTAAAAATACTGTATCAAAGAAAGACACAGTCGCAGCCGCTGAAAGACGATGGCCTAATGCAAGAGTTCCCATTATCATAGATCAGACATTTGGTAAGCAACCAATCTTATAGACCCCACGTGACAATATGATCTTTTTTGTTTAGTAAAACTCGGTAGAATGAATTGTAATACTTAGTAGAATAGACTAGATCATAAAGAAATTGTTGTAATTTTTGGTAGTATAGATCATAAAGCAATTTCAAGGATTGCATAAGGCAGTTCATTTACTGCAAAAAAATATTGCTTTGTGCTTTTCCTACTATAGCTATATGTTTTTGCAGAAAACCTATATATACCTTTGTGCATTCAACATTGTGTTTCTAAACCTAAATAAATTATAACAATAAATGCTGCTTTCCAAGTACCGTTTTTGTTTGAGAACATATTTTCCTACCATTTTTATAGATGATGCAAGAAAGGCTGTGCTAATTGCTGCGCTGGATCAGTTCAACAAGAAAACATGTGTTCGCTTTGTTGCGAAAGAAGACTATGATACTGACTACATTAAATTCACAGTCGGCGAGTATGTATATTGATTCTCACATCATATTTATGTTGCATAAACTTTTGATGCTTTTGACTTTATTTAGGCTTACCTTAGTTCTAGAGGTAATTCCCAAATGCTTTGCGATCAAAAATAGTATGATTTCTATTGAAAGAAAGCAGTTGATGATGATGGCATTAAGCGTGAAACTCATAATTTTTTCATTCTTGAACTTCTGAGCAACCAAAATACCCTTTCTTTGGAAAGATTTAACGGCTAGAATTGCTGCATTAGCATAGACCCACCGGCACCAGCATCAACCACATATCCTTAACGTTCTCTATTCAAATTTTAGTTCTTTAAAAAATTCATCCTGTGGAGTTTTGATAAAACTATAAAACGTGAATTAATTTGGCAGATATTTCAAGGGAACTTGTAACTTTCAATTTATGCCCATATCTAAAAGGTTTTAATAAAACTACAATTTGTTGAATGGATTGTCTCTAAACAAGTAAAGTAAATTTACATCAGAATAATAGTCCGCCATGGTAAGAGTTGAAGCTGTTTTATTGCCATTTCTATTCTTTGCATCCAATGAATCTGGATGTAGCACTCTTACTTAGATCCTTTAAAAAAATTTGTTTCTAGCCTGCGATTGTAATGTATTTGCCATATTATCCAATTATGATATAATGATATGTGCATTGACAATTTAAACCGTGTATGGATCGCAAATCATGAATGACATTGTTTTTGCTATTGCTAAAACTTTTGAATTTTGTTTATGCATAAGGAATTTTCAAGATTGCAGTTAAAGTTGGAACTATCTATCATAGTAATAACGAAACCAGTGAGAACCTGCAATGTATGAAATGCAAATGTAATCTTTCAGGGGTTGCTATTCCACATCGGTTGGAAAAAGCCTCCTTGGAGGAGAGCAGGAGATATCGATTGGAGAGGGGTGCAATTACCAAGGAACTGTTATTCACGAAATGATGCATGCAATAGGATTCTTTCATGAACACACTCGACTTGACAGAGATCAGTACATCACAGTTAACTGGCAAAACATAGAAAAAGGTTTGTTGGAAATGCATATCAAACTTTGTCGTTAATCTATCTCTTCAGCTCTGTTAGAACGCTAGACAGAAGCGAAGAAAGAGAAGCAAAACATTATCCCTTTGGCGTAAACGAACAATGTTGCCAAAGCAACAGCCTAGAGTAAAGTTTCGTCTAGTTTAAGCAACTTTGCAGAAATTATTGAAAAGCCTTCTATCGTTATCTATAACACTATTTCCTCTGTTTCTTTATTAAGCTCTATTTTAACGATTAACTGCTTCGACAAACTTCCTCTGATTGTCTGTTAGAAAATGTTTTCATCTGTTACGAATCTAAAGCTGTTACTGATTAAGCATGTAAGGTTTTTCTCTGTCATTTTTCTCTCTTTTGTTCTAATTTACTACCCTAAATCCTGAAGAAGAAGAAAAGATCATATGTCTAACTTTTTTTACAAAACAGCTTTATGTTTCCTTCTTTACATACTAAGCCTTAATAGATTCTGTTGAATAATTTTTTTTATTTCAAGCACTTATGCAAGCAAGCTAACTTTACAACTATAAAGTATATTCTTACGAAATCTAATCTTAAGCTAAATCTATTGCTAATTTCTAACTGGCTAAAAAGTGTCATATTTTGTTTACATTAATGGGCCTATAGAAAATATTACTTAAGATGCATAAACAATACAAAAGGTTGCAGAAAAACAGAGAATCTTCATCAAAGATCTGAATCAGTGAAAATCGTTTAACTGAATTTGCTTTTTACACTGAAAATAATCTACTTTACGTCTAAAAATATGTCACGAATTAACGATTACTCTATGATAGCTCCCGGAGAAATTGTTTCTTGGAGGAAAAAATGAGCCTTTACTGACCTTTTTGAGTAGTATTTGTCAACTTGTTATCGTTTCGCTATGTTCTTGCTTAGACCGATATTCAAAACCAAGCAACAGTAATATTGAAATATATACTCGATTCACAATGATATTGAAATACAATAAGGTGATACCAGGTTATATGCAAGAACAAAGCAAAATGATGACAAGAATCCAATTTTATAAAATAGATTTCAGGAATTGATTTGACGTAACCCGTCAGTCTTACTGCTTCCGATGTAGTCTTGTAATGTATGGGATTCATTTTTGCTCAAGTATTGCTTATGGGTTTGACTAAGTACATTTGGAGAGAGATAGGGACAAGTCGTATATGTAGCTTTTCAATCCTGCGATTTTCTAATGTACATACTGTTAATAAGCAGGAAACAGCTAATAAGCAAAGGATATAATACGAAATGCATATCATTTTATAGGAAGGGAAGCTCAGTTTCAGAAGTACGCTCATGGCGAAGGTGATTACCTCAATGAGCCATATGATTATGATTCTGTCATGCAGTACCCCCGTGATGGCTTCGGTGTTATGGTCAACGGTAAAAGACTGGCAACTCTTGTCCCCAAAGATAAACCTTGGAGAAAAATCGGTCAGCGGGATGGATTCAGCCAAGTTGACTTAAACCAGATCAACAAACTCTATAAATGTTATGTTTGATTTGTTTTTGCTTTCATCGTTAAATATTGAACAGTAAAGCTATAGTTGTTCTTTTTTGTGGACTTGAAAGATCAACCGCCATTTTGCCCTTTCTCGTCACTTACTATCTACACCTGGATATAAACTTTCTGCTTACTTTCGGTTACTATCCGACCGTATTCTGAAGAGGGTTGGATGAAAGTGTGTCAGCATACTATGTTTACGCTATTTTGTGCCATGTTCAAATAAATGGAGACAGACTATGTGACATCACAGTTTTCATCAAGCAAAACAATTGCTGTCATTTGTACTGCTGTTTGGAACAAAGTAGTTCCATAATTTTCTTGAAAGCGAAAATTTTTTAATGCTGTACAAATGTTTCCTTATACATGCTATCAATTCTGGGGAGTATCAATAAATCTAAAATTATCTAAATAAATCTAAATATTAGAATCCCGTTATAACGTACTTGGTTATTGTGTACTTTCGGATATAACGTACTGGTGTGCTTGGGATATAGCGTACTTAATACACTGGTCCCTTGAAGTACGTTATAACAGGATTATACGTACAACATAAAAATCTGTTATTTCATCAATTTCAAATCGTGTGAAATCACTGTTGACTACAATAATAGAAATTTTTCACAAAACTTGATAGAATAATTGGAGCAAAATTCCTTCCTGAAACAGTATTTATATATATTTCTAGATATCTCTATTAGAATCTTCTACAGAACGTTTACCTTGGGCTTCCTTCAGTTAGCCATGCAATTACGGAAAACACTCATCCTTTGACATGAAAAGGCACAAACTGAAATTTGAAAAGTAACTATCAATAGTTGTCATAACTATCAGTACTAGGATGCTTATACTACTAAGATGCAACAAAATCGTAGGACGACCTTCCTGCTGAAACAAAACAGGCGTCTTCCTCAATTATATTAAAAAACTTATTTCCTCAATCACTTTTTAAGGTTTTTTTCAATTTTTACATTCTTAAGATTGCATTTAATTTCATTGTATAGTATTTGCGATTATAATTAAAAGTTTTGAAGAGGAGGGCTTCTTTTGAATCAGCTTCGGCTGAAGAGCAATCACCTTAAACGAATCAAAATTAAATGCAAAAATATGATAGCACATAAAGGAAGACATGTTTTATAGCAAAAACTTTTGTCTGACACCGATCGTATAAAGTATGAAATATGAAGGAGTGAAGAGTCAAATAATGAATGATTTTTTACTGCAATTCGTGCGATATCAAAACATGAAATTAGGTTCATGACACGTTTTTAAGAACATTCACGTGTATTTTGCATTTCAACTTTACAAAAGTAAGTATATCAAGACACAATGCAATGGGCGGCAAGGATACTTGCAATTTTTAGAAACAAATCAATTTGACTCATCAAAAAAGCCAGCAGTTTGTCAAGAAGCAATTTAACAAAAAAGACGTTTCAAGTGAGAGTACTTCAAAGATCCAAACTGGAAGTTAAATTTACAAGGATCACTATGCTAAACTACGTAGCTGTTTAAACAATGCGCCTTCCGTGTTCAATTGCTCTTGTAAAGAGTGTATAAATAGGTATTCGACCAAGACATTTTCCATCTTCGATCACTGAGGTTTCCTTTCAAAGTAGACGTGCTCTTATTTGCGAGGTATGTTGGTTCTCGATATATTTTATTACCTGTATTTTTGAATAATTAAATCAAAATAGCATATGATCTTAAAAACATGAGTTGATAGCCATAAATCTATGCATTACTTTCGAAAGAGCTGCGCAAATGAAAAGAGCAGTAAGAAATCTATTACCAGTCTATTCAAACGACAAACAATATTTTTTTCAGCAAAGTAAATGATTATATGAGCTGAAAACACAAGCTACAAACATTTGATATGCAAAACAATTAACATATCACTTATTTATCAGCCATTACATTCTGCATTTTATCTGATTTCAGGAAAATGAAGAGTTTCTTTGTCTTACTGGCTTGTGTGTATTTCTGCAATGCAGGTAAGATATAGCGAGAATCGCTATTAAAGGGCATGTGTCGTGAACATGATTGGCTAATGCAAAAGGATTATCTTTTTTGTTTAGTACAAAACATGTAATCTAGGGTGAAATTTTGCGGCAGTAAAAATTCAAGAAGAAGAAATGAAAAGTCACGAAACAAATGAAATTCCACTTTAAACGCTTTTGTTTATTTAGCCAACGGTTAATGCAACATATGCTCCTTAATCTAATAGCTGGCGTAAATTTCAAACAAATAAAAAATAGGTACTTCAAAATCTCATAGATAAGATAATGGTTAGCTTTGAACGGAGCTTTTTGCCATTTTTTCATTATAAGATTATTCGACGTTCAAATATAAGTTGAACGGAGTTATCTTGAATTGTTGTTTGGAACGAAAACGTTAAACACTGTTTCCTTTTAGACTTGTTTGAGGGTGACATCATCCTTGACAAGCACACGGAAGACATTGTTCTTGGAAAAAACGCATTCGATGCAGTCAAGTCTGATTCCAAGAAATGGACTGGAGCAGTCGTACCATACATTTTCGACTCTAACTTCGGTAATTATGCATCATATATATTATGCAAAAGCTTTGAGCAAATTACATGAACATATGAGCAAAAACTTTCTCGGTTTATGTCACATGTGCGATGTCCTTGGTAATTTTTCACGTAACTCGCTTTAACAAACTACATCGTATTATTAAAACTTTTGATTGGTTAGCAAACGGCTAATGTTAACGGTGTTGGCAATTGTAATATTGTATTATCATAGCACGAGCTGTTCTAATGATATAAAAGTGTTTTAGTAATAGAGGCAATGGTGACAGCAGTGGAGCAAATATTTGTGATGTTGGCTGCCATTATCACTGTGATGAACTTTCTAATAACCTTGCATGACGATCTGGTATCAGAAGATCTGATATCCTGTATTCATTCAAAAGCTTCATTTTCTTACAAATACTCTTAATATAAAAAGATAAAGAGCATAAATGTGAACTGTTGGATAACTAGGTGCCAATATATGAGACTTCCTAAGGATTCTTTTCTATTAGAAAGCAGCAGAAGAGACGTCGTAAGGCAAGCAATCGCCGAATACAACAAGTACACATGTATTAGATGGGTACCGAGAACTAACCAAAGAAACCATGTTAAGTTTATAGTTGGTGGAGGGTGAGTATAGCTACTTATAATTCTTTCTCTGCCACACATGAACCCAAAACAAGTTTCACAGAAACCTTTAATCATATGACACTAGCAATGTTCACAAAGCATATGATTCTATGTGGATGATTATCTTCCGTACCTGATTATTTTGCCAACTCTGTTTATGCAAGTTAAGATGCAAGTGAATACTTCTGATATTGAATCCCAACCATATTCTTTGCCTACAGTTTAAGGTTTTCATGGTTTATTATCCGACACATATATTCTCACGATACATATGTTGACGATGGTGTCACTACAAAAAATTTCAAATTGCCACTTGTTTTGGCAACTAGCATAGATAACTAGCAGTTTAGCTCTATAATCAAGACCAGCTTTGCCACAAACTGGCCATAAGGAAATTATCTTTAAGATTTGAAACTATGTTTCAATTCAATCTCTAATCGTTCAAAATTTATTATAAAAATACTTGCGATTGTTACACAGCTATTGCATATAACCCTAGAAGGTCTGTCTAAAGAAAGATGAATCAAATAGAGTTGCTTGGAAATCAAAGCTAAGGCTACCATATATTAATTAAGTGAATTATTTCAGTGACGTTTGCTGTTTTGTGACAAAAAGGTGTCCTTTTTAGCTGTTACTCTTACGTTGGTATGTCTGGTGGTCAACAAGTTATCTCTATTGGACAACATTGTGACAAGAAAGGCATCGTCATTCACGAGATGATGCACTGCATGGGATTCTGGCATGAGCAGTCAAGACTTGATCGTGACAGTTACATTAGAATCTTCTGGGAAAACATTTCAAATGGAAGACGTAATGGCATTTTTGTTAATTATTCTTTAAAGGATGTCTTTCGGTAGTCTTTTGCAGTTCATCTAAATTTAATACTGGTCAAAACAAGATTTTCATAAATTTAAAATTTTCAATATGACAATTTAAGCGGAATATTTATAAAAAATCTTTCAAAGGGATATAAGTATTGTGTTGAGCGTGCTGAAGAAATCGGGAATGGTACAAGGAGGGGACATTTTATGCTTTTGCATTTTTTAATAGGTTTTCTCTAATAATTTGAATATTTCTGATTTGAATACTACCGCTTTTGAAAATGTCGTAGCACAATACTATATTTTGTCCACTTGACAGTGTTTTGCTAAATGGGAAGAATGTATTTAAAATAACCATTAAAAAGGATTTAATTGGTTGCCTATCATAGAAAACCACAATTTCAAAAAATACAGCCATGGAGAAGGAGATTATTACGGTGAGGGATATGACTTTGACAGTGTGATGCATTATGGGAACTGGGCCTTCAGTACCAACAACAAGATGACCATTCAAGCAAAGAGCGATCCTAAAAAGATGCTGGGACAACGTGACGGATTCAGTCCTATTGATGTAAAACAACTCAACAAGGTTTACCAATGCAAAGGATACGAGAATGTCAAAGTTCCTCCACCAAAAGGTACAATATCTCAAAAATATGTTCATACTTGTGCTGTTATTGAAATATTTACGTACTTTGGGGCTTATGTTTGGGATGGATACTTTAAAATTAGACAATTTCTTTTTATTTGCGGACCTTTATATACTGGGATTGACTACTGATCTATAAAAAAGACTGGATCGAGCTTCTAATGTGACCAGAGTGTCGCCATCCAAGAAGAGAGCCCCAGAACAGTCCGTGCGAAGAGACGGCCTTCTCTGTCACCCCTAGCAATGTTTTCAGCTGCTCTGTTCTGTTCTTTTTCAGCAATCATAAACACAGCATTGCAGCTCTGGCTTATTCATATCGTTGAAGTATTGATTTTTAAGAATGGCTTTCCGCTTTTGTTTGGGGCCCTCTTCCTTTTGAAATTGAACGGGCTTCAAACTTTTGTGTTTCAATGCAATAGGAAGCTCGATCCAGTCTTTTTTGTAGATCAGTGGGATCGACCAATTGAGCACACCAAATGTGAACTGAGGGCCCGGGTATGGACAAGGAGCTCGGCAATGGGGCCTCTAAAGCTTATGGGCCTTGGCCCATGAACCCTATCCTATTGATTACAATATTTTCCCTTTGCCTTCAGCAAAGTTCTACTGCCATAATAGACAGACAAACGATTCTTTTAGGCTGCATTGACAGGGATAACAAGTGTGCAGACTACGCCAAATGGGGACAATGTGAAACAAATGAAAGATATATGTTGCAATACTGTTGCAAAACATGCAAGGACAAAGGTTAGAGGTTACTGCTAATATGACTTTTGACTCCATACATCATGCTTTGGCTAGTAGTAACCATAAAAATTGCTACTTATGCTCCAGTTGGCAAAAATACTAAGGACCTCTAAGCAGAGGTTTTTCTCAACCAGAAGCTTGGTTAAAGTTTATAAGCATCAATGTGAGAGTTCTTATTTTATGTGGATTAATAACAAAAGTAAAAACAAACACAAATAACATTATTCACTTTAATTTCCTTTATAAATAGACATTATTTGTTAAAGGCTTACAGTTTGGCTTGACCTAGAAATGAATATACCAATTCATTGTCGCTATAATGTTAAACTGGCCCTTAATATTCTAGCTGGAGGCAGTGGTGGAACTGGCACAGGTGGAACTGGCACCGGTGGAACCGGTGGTGGATCAGACTGTAAGAACAACCACAGCAACTGCGACACATGGGCTGGAAGAGGATACTGCAACCATAGCACTGAGGGCACAAGACGCTACATGAAGAAGTACTGCAGAAAGGCATGCAAATTCTGTTAAAAGAACAAAACAGTCATAAGGATGAAAATAAATTTTGTTCAAAACATTATATGAAGATTGCAAATAAAAAACTAATTGATTGATTCTCTGTGTCTAGCTCTGAACCAAACTCTAGCATCTAATATAACGCATGACAAGCAAACAAAGAGGAGCTTGGGAGGACTCTTGTTACTCGTGCAACTTCTCATCACAGGAGGTCACTGGGTGTAGAAAGATAACCTTCTTTGGACTGATGTATTGACTATATTTTGAACAGATGCAGTTTAGCATTTAAAATGTCTATGGGAACAAGTGCCCGTTTTGAAGGTACGAGCCCCCTATGCAAGCTTTCTGTGGAAATTGCTCGCTCAAAAAGATAAGTTTATAAAAAAAACTAAGACTTGAAGATGTGGAGTTACGTAACTATAAATTGCTTTCAATATCCACATTAAAAATTATTGACAGAGAAACGATTGGAATTCAAACTTTGTGTTGTTTTATATCATGGAAAGAGCCCATTTTCTGATTGATTAAAATTTATAACTGATTACGAAACTAAAGAAGCGATATAAAGTATTTTAATATTCATAAAGTTTATAAGTGTCAAAATGTGTTCCTCAATTTCTTTCAGAAAGCCGTTGATTTTGCTAAATCGAATTAGAATGCCATTTATTATCTGTTCATTGAGAACAGTTTTTAACAAAGAATTTAAAGAACAACACAAAAATTTATTTAAAAGTTTCTTTAAATTTAAGAAGAATCAAATTTATACTTTTTTTACATCTATATTTGCAAATCTAATGCAAGCAGCATCTAATTATTTTTGTAGATCAACAAAGAAAGTAATTATACCAACTGAAGGATTTAATGACGAAATAGCAAAGACGTTAAATCATAGATAAAATTTTTTGCTTTGGCTGCATAAATGTAGTCAAAAGCTCCCATCAATGTATGCAAACATGTTTTAAAGTTTTTGTACAGATAAAGATTGGGGCTTGAAGAGCATTTTGACTATTTTGACTGAAGAGATTTAAAAACGATATTTTGCTAGCCAACCAACTAAATCTGGCCTTGATAACAAAATTTTTATTTTCAATATAACTCCAGTGGGCTTTACCAATTAGAAAAATTATTGCTCATCAGCTGATTTCAAAAAAATTATAGGAAAAAGTAAATTTTAGAGCAGTTGGGTTTCTTCTTAGCATACTGTTTCTAATGCAATTAATTAAACAAAACCTTGCTCATGGTTGTTTTATTGTTTTGTGCAAATTTCTTTCGTCACTCTTCAACATGGATATAGTAAGCCCCAGACCACTTTTTGTGTAAGCACTGAGTGAACAAGTATAGAAGATTACTAATATAAAGGAGATTAATATAATATAATATAAAGAAGATTAGAAGATTTATATGTTTGGTTGTCTGGTAAAATCTTGTGCAGCAGAAATCATTAAATGGAATTTGTTCCCCTACCTCTTGTTATTAGAAGCTTTCAATCAGAATGTCTAATAAATGAAAAAGACGTCAAAATAATGTGTGACTCTTTCGAATAAGGCATAAATTTGCGACAGAATGAAAGTACAAGCACAGCGGAGCATTGAGAAGGGAGAGGGTGCCTAAAACCGAATAAAAAAGGCCTTACTTATGGTTGTGGCTCAATTTTAGTTCTTTTCACTTTCGGCAAAAAGTGTGGGGGGTAGCCTAATCGAGGGGGCATTCCTCTCCTTGCTTAAGAAGTAAGTTCCTTCCTTAAGATCCAGTTCACGCGAGAAGCGAGCAACCATTTCTCGCCACCTTTTACAAACGCTGTTATATTTGTTTTTGTGCTCTTCGTTACAACCCCGTCCCCCTTTTTCACAAGTCGCAAGTCGCCCACATTATGTTGGCATGGAAACGAGGCAAAACAAATGTCGAAATATTCACCGGAAAATTCACCGCGAAAGTCAGTTAACTTGACAGGAGCAATCGTTTTTTAGCGAAATGTGGCATTATTTCGTAGCCCACGTTATTTACTACATTACAAGATGTTTTCCAAAAGACAACAGAAGAGCAGTGTAAGTTTACAGCACTATCAAGCTTCCCATTGCTTCGTATAACTCGAGGGCGACAGCACTTTGCAGAATCCATTTTCGTCCTAGATCATTTGTTTTGGACGGTAAAACATCCACTTTTTGTGCCTAATGACCAGTCTTTTTTGTGAATGAAATAAGAAATCTTTCTTAGGTTTTTTGAGAACTCAGAATCAGTATCATGTTATTGATTCTCTAAAGATATTCAAATAAACTCACTGCCTGTCGATATTTGTGTATCTTTGTTTTGTTTATGATGCATCGTCTTGATCTCTAATATATTGGCTTGTCCTTTGCATGATAACTGCAACCATAAGATTTTTCATTTCAGACGCTTGTTCTGCACTTTTACCGCCTTGGTTTTCCTCATCCCACAATTCGTAGTCCTCACAATGTGAGTATTAAACATGTTTTGTGAAAATCACATTTACGGTTGGAATTTAATTGATACAAAATTATTGAATGCAAATCTCTGAATCTGTAGAAATTACAGTCGTTATTTTACTGATGTAGTCAATGTTACAATAACTTCAGAGAAAGAAATATGAATGGCACTAACAGTATATCCAAAGTGAACAGTTGCAAGTTTTCATATTGTCTGTTAGAATATGTACTGTAATATTTTTTATTATTTAAGGAATGAAGAAATAGCTTTTACAAGGGATCTTATCCTTTTCCCTTCTAAATAAAGCATTGTTTATCTGTTGGCATAGGGTTCTAAAGTTTGATCTTATAGAACAGGGTCTAAGGCACAAATTTAAAAGTGGGGAGGGCCAAGGCTAGCAAAAGTAGGGGCCAAGGCTTTTCCCCCTTTTACTACTGCTTTGAAACTACTTGCTTTGCAAAAAGTGGGGAGGAGGGGTGGCATGGCACCTCAACCCCTTGATTTTATGGTATTATCATACATTATGGTACCTTAGAACTAGAGTATAAATATATTGAGACAATAAGATGAATGTACAATCATACCTTGTTTTATTTTCGCAAATATAAATAGTCACTCTTTTATTTTCATAGCATGAAACAGAATAAATGTTTGGGAATGATTTCATTTTTAGGCCATTTTGACATATAACACAACAAATTTGATTTATAACACAAAGTCCCAGTCACCATTTGATAAAATGTGATTGATAGCAGCTAGATCTTTAGAACAAAGAATTACAGTTAATCTTTTGCAGAAAGTTTTGGTGAAAGGTTATTTCAATAAAGAATCTTTTTAACAAATACTTTCAAATTTAATTTAGTCATATTTGGTCCGGTGGTCTTTTCAAATTCTGATGGTCCGGTGGTCTCTTCTGATGGGCCTTATTTGTAATGGACCCTGCAAGGTTTCAAAGGTTTGATGGTGCAGTATTGAGGTTTTTGTCATTTTGCATTTTAGGGATACAACAAGTAGATACTGTGGCTCACCTTTGCTTGAAATGCTGGTTTTGTCCATTGCAACAACATTTGCAATGATAGGTATGGTTTTGCTTGTTACACAAAAATACTAAATTTGTAGAAATAAAAATCAAGTAAAAAAAAAGTTATCAGGTTGAGTCTTTATTTTTATAAACAGACTTTATGTAGTTTATCAAGTAAAAATGAGTAATGAATTTTGCTATTTATAAATTCAAAATGGAGATCTATATGCTTCCTGCAATGTGATTTTCATTCCTGATTTGTGTTTTATTGAACTGCATAAGTTTGAAAGTTTAATTTGGTATATAAAATATTTTTTGAAAATTTTGCCAATATTAAAGTCTTTATTTCTAAGAAATCAATCTACATGTACATGTTTCTTTGTTTTCAAGAAATTATTCTCATTTTATTGGGGAGGATTGTTACTACCTTTCTGCAAGATCTCATTTCCAGATCAACCTCCCAATGATTAAAACAACAAAAAATTATCAATATTATGTTTTATGTTTCTTTAACTTTTTTATTGATTGTATTTCAAGCATTTGGATTCCTGTTTACAATGATGGAGCCTGTTCCTTGGAAATTGCGACTTTCATTTCATTTCTTTGGAGCCTTCTCATTTCTTGTTGGAATACTGCATTTTTCATATGCTGTAACCGGACGAGACTGTGTGAGTAGCAACTTTAGCTAAGCTTTGACCTCTTAGTTTTTGTTTGCTGGATAACCTATAAACTTTTGAAACTTAAGAAAACTATCTGCCTTTTTATGTGCTTTAGTATTTTAATTTTCTAGCAATGATTTTTTCTGTAGCAAAGGTGTATTTTCACCATAATCCGTATGTGTCAACTGTGCAGTTTGCCAGTTGTGATACCATCCACTTTATTTGAGATAGAAAGGTGTGTGGTGTGGTCATGAACATTTTAAGATGTCACACCGTTTTATTGCCTTACCTTAAAAAGCTCATTTTGATAGTTAAATGAGCTAGAAAATCTGTGTTTTTGAAAAGCAGGAGACAAGCTCTTCTATCTTTTCATATGTGTTTCCAATCAATTCCTGTACAAATTAAAAATGCTTCTTACAGGAAAAAACAACAACATCGCTCTATTATCTCTCCATCTCTTTTGGAATCTTTGGTTTAACTACAATGTGTAAGTTGTTTTATCATTAATTTTAATTTTTGGGAAACAAAGAATTAGATCACTACTTCTGATACAGTCATTGTCAAAAATCTGAGTGGCAGGGGAGGCATTTGTAGATTCCTTCTTTACATAGGGTCATGAGTGAATACATTAATATATTTGATCAAAATTTTGCAAAAAGATTATTTTTTTAATGATAGCAATCTACATTTATCTAACTTTCTTTGTATTATTTGACCTAGGAATTTGAAAATTCCTGTATTTGATGACTGTCTGTGCTAGGCATCTTGTTGTTTTAATGCTAATAAGCCACCTTAGATAACCTCTTCCAAAACAATGACAATATAATGATGAACCAGTTCAAAACATGTCTTTTAGAAGCTGTTCTTTATACGTGAAGTTTAATTCCTTATATTATTAATTGACAGCTCTTTTAAACATAGACATAAAATTTGAATTTTTCTGGCTGAAAATCGAAAATGATGAATTTCATATCCTTTGATTATTGTTATTTTATCTTAGCAATGGAAAATTATTGGAAATATTTTCTGATAGTGAGTTGTTATTTAATGTATTGTTTTTCTGCAGTTCCTAAATAGCCGGTTCCGTATTGAAAGTCTGCCATGGCTGGCTAACCCCCTTTATGAAAATTCTAGCTGGTGCTTTATTCCCCAATCCTTAGGTATGCCTTTAAATAAAGAAATATGATACAGAAAAAGCTGTGTAATAAAATATTTGCTAACAGAGCTAGATAATTCTTGTAGCCAACAGGGCATCATAGAGTTAATTCAATATGCATGTAATTTTTGCTTTATTGCATTTATATTTTCTTTTAGTATTCTTTGCTTTCTTACTGCCATTCTGGATAATCGAGTTCCTCTGCCAAGGAAGAGTCTTGAACAGAAAAGAAAGAAGAGGCATTTGCTACGAGCCAGTCTCAAACTGTCCTTGCTTATGGCGTGTATAAGTAAAATAGACCTAAAGGTTTCTATCAACTCCTTTACAACGTGTTTCGACTGCTGAAAGCTGGAGTCCAAACACATCATATGCTATGTGGGCTCATACAACTTATTTGAAGCAACCTCCTACATTTCAACATTAACATTTCGGATTTACTTCTGACGTTTGTGATCGTCGCTCAACATTTGATAGCATGTAAATGATCTTACTTAAAAATATAACTACATATTTCAGCTGCATAAGAAAACCAAGATTGCGTATTTTATTTAAATGTTGGCATAGTTTTCACTTAGCATTAGCTTAGTGATATCCTGGTTGGTAGGGCTTGAAAATTACGTAGTAATCGCTCCAAGACTTCTGCAATGCATAACAGAGGCGAAGAAGTTAAAATCCACCATCCAATTTATCTAAATGAATTATTATGTTAATCAATTGATCAAATTAATTAGTTTAACTTGTCAGTCGATAATCAACCTATCGATGTAATTTGGAAGCAGCAAGCCCACTCACTGCCAACAGATGGCCATTTAAATCTCTGAACAAGTAAGGTTTGGCACTACTACCCATCAACTGCAAAAAATAATCGAAAAAGAGAAGAGTTGATGCTGATTCCTAACAGAAGAGAAAGTTTTATTCTTACTATATATCGGGAGTACTTTCATCAAGGTTAATGTTGTGAACATTTTGTTTATTAGCAAGATTGCAGATCGAATTGAAATTTTGGCTTGACTTTCCGTGTCGTTTGGATGGCACTGCAGCATCGAGAACGATAAGAGAAAGATTATGATGCTTGGTTACTTCTAAACCTAATGGCTCTTTTGATTTGTTTATCCAATAATCAAATTGAAAGATGGGGCTTAAAGCTCTGACCCTAAAATTTGGCCTAGTGAGCAATGTACCTACACTAACAAGTTGCCCGCCTAGTCTATTTTTTATACTTATTTAAAAAAGAATGCAAATATCAATTGTAGTACTTGTACTATCTTAAGGTATTTGTATTTGTTTCGGAACTGACGTGTGAACCGATCTGTTCATTTGTCTTAACAAGTTTAAAAGACTAACCTTCCCATAAGTAAGTAAATAGTTCTTACTGCCATTGTAAATTATTTGTATTTATTGTACTTTTATTGTAAATTATTCGACAAAGTCACTTCCTTTTAAGAGGTGATGTTCACAGTTTGTCTTTTGCTCTTACAAGTGTAAATAGTAATCCATTAGTGATTGAAGTAGATCGTGTGACAATGACCTGTAAAAAATGTACTTTGGTCTGTCTCTTTTGAGTGACAATTCTCTAATGTCTGATATGAGACTTCTCGTTACTGAAAATGGAACGTGTGTAATCGCAGAGGACTACGACGTCATGAAGTAAAAGTAATTACGGAAATCAACCAACCTCCAAATAATTATAGCGCATGTATGTTAAACATTATAAACAGGGTATTAAAGTTTGATCAGTGGAAGCGATGTAATTTTTTGGAAGGGTACTAAAGTGCGGACTCACAACATCAACGTTGCTGAGTGCTCTATGTAGGGTGAAAGTTTCTAAAATCCTGCTTTGTTGGCAAGAGTAAGTGAATAGTTTGACGCAAATCACTTTCTTCCCCTTCTTTTCTTCACAAGAAACGGTAAGGTTCTGTCGACTCTTCCCCTATAACCTTCAAATCACATGCAGCAAAACCACCATCCGTTGTCACCTTCAGAAAAAGGACACCAAAGGATAAATGTTCTATTTTTTGACATTATATTTGATGACAAAATGATGTGGAAGGGGCCACCGAAAAACGCACCACACTCTTCAATAGGCATAAACACAACTCGATGTCTGTTTTAAATCGTTTTGAGTGTGTTAAACCACGTCTTTAATTTGCGTTTTTTCCCTCATATCTCTTTGATATATTGCCCTTCATGCAGTGGTGTAGTAGCCCCAAAAAAACAAGGGGCTCTTGCCCAAAATGTTGCGAAAAACGATAGCAAAAGTAGATATTTGCCAATTTTCGGCATCAACAAGGGGGGCTCAGAGGGACTGAGCCCCCTAGCTCTACACCCCTGCAGTCTCATGGAACAGCTGTTAATCATTGACATCAGAATCATTTTGAAATCAAAGGTGTGCTTTAAATAGAAATAATGAAAACAAGGAGTCGACCTTCTTTACAAAACTTTACGTTCCTCTACTCCCTTTTATTACAGGGCCTATAAAGCTTTGGAAACTTCCTGTCAATGCATTTTATACATTTTCATAAGATTTATTTATAAGAAACCAGATAATTTGTACAGAGTGTCGGTGAATACTTTGTCGGGCAATCGACGCTCGGTATGCTGATGAAGTGTGTTCTTATAGTAATAGTTCAAGTTCTGTGTGTGTGTTTTGTTTGGTTCTTTCTCTGGGTAATTGAATTGGTACATTGTTGATAAATTAAACAATCAAAACATGTACTCTTGCCAAAACATGTGACCGAGGCCAATCACTCATGGCACGTGTGCGACCAAAACAACAAGTTTAGTTGTCCAGTGAGCAGAGTACGATGGAGACGAGAAAACGACTGGTCATAACTGTAGTCCTTTTGTCATTGGCAGCAGAAGTAAGTTAACAATTTTTTTATTAGTTTACTGCAGAAATTAAAAGAACGTTACATAACACCAATATATTTTAACGACTGAGGAGAACCCTATGAAGGCAATAGACTTTAAAATAAATACAAAGGATTACTGTTATAATCTTAGATTGAATCCTCCCTTATACACTTCATTTGTTTTTGCTTGTATTATAAGTGTTTCATTGGTTCATGTAAGTTTTTATTATTCTAAGCATTAGCTGTGAGGTTTAAGAGTATTAAGAGCTTTGTCTTACTACATTGAAGGAGCAAGATGATTTTATAATTATAGGCCCCAAAATACAGAGATGATACGTCTAGAAATATTAGTTTATTTTGATTTTATGTGAGGTTTAACCTATCTTATTGTCCTTTTTTACGAATAAAAACAATATCATATGCCAAAGAATCTTACTGTGAACAGAAGTCATTTTACGTGAGAGAAAACGAATTTGCTGGCACGGAAGACCAAATCATGTATTGTTCTCAGAAAAGAACTAACAAACCACTTCCGTTTGGCAAAATCCTGACTCAACTCTACGCTGTAGGGATGCTTACATTCTCAGGGTGGCTTCCGTCGTTTTTCAATCTGTTTCTGCCAAAGGTAACTATGACAAATATGTCAACCCAGGAAGTGAATTAAAACGAGGCTGCTTGAAGCATTGTCTGGCGAAACTATTTTTGTATCCAAAGAAAATCTGACGAACGCAAATAAAGTTTCTAATCTTTAATTCGCTTTTTTTGACAAGGGCAAGCAATAACGAATTTGTACTTCGGCGTTTTGAACCGTGTGTACCTTGAACAAAATTTGGACTTGTGTAAAAGAGTTGGTTTTATCTCCGTGCCATTTGGAAGTGTTTCAGTATCCTACCTGCCCATTTTCTTCCCAAAACAACAATAAAAATTATGTAAAAATCAAAATTTCATACCAAAATACACACATCCATATTTCATGCGTCACTTTAAGGTGAACCACTAACTTTTAAAAAAAAATGGGGGCAATAGAATGAAGGGACATAGGGTATTCTATCCTGTTTTATCAAAAAATGGCCCAGATACCTCTTTGAAAACTGATGAAAATGTACTTAGTAAGGAGTAGGTTAAATTTTTAGTAATTACTTAAATATACTTACTTTACTTGCTCAAAAATAACACGGATATTTATATCAATGGAATGATCTCAAATGGGCGTGGTTCCACAAAATTTCTATTGGCTACGCCCAATCCTTTGAATTTTACTCTGGCTTGCGCTCTCTCTGGACAGGGCGGTTGTTTGTGAAATATATCTAGTGACTTTTTGAAATAGTCTAAGAAATGTGCGTAAAATAGAAAACCTGAATAATCACCTAAATTAGATTCTAAAAGAAGCATATCAGATCCAAAATAGAATTTTGAACGCGGTATATGATTTCCATATTCTTCTATCAGGGAATGCGAAAACATATAGTCAAACTATGTTTACTATTAATGATTCAAACGGAAATCTTCTTTCTAAATTCGTCGGTCATTTCCAGTAGATCCCCATTACCATGTTTCCAAAACCATTGTACTGGATACTAACATTTGCGTTTTAGACACTTCAAGAAAAAGGCCGATGTAAAGAATGGCAGTTCGAAACACGGATTGCCAATGAGTTGCAGTGTATCGATTGCTTTTGCAATGGCATCACTAGCCGATGTAGGCGAGCGATGTATTATATTGCAAAGGTATGGTAGATATGAATTGTTAATTTTTCATCAATGATGCAATTAGGGAATGGGTCATAAATTTTACCTTGAATTTTTTTCAGATTGTTGAAACAAGATTTTATGATGATTAGTTTACTGTAGATAAATCTTTTACTTAACTCGTATTTGATCTCACGTGTAGAGCAAGTTGAAATCATTATATCTCAAGGTGAAAGTAATATATATAAAAGAGCTAAATTTCTGATTCCAGATAGAACTATCAGATGTTTCAAAAGTTAGAGCTTTAAGCGAAGATGCAAGGCTGCCGGATAACGCTATTTATTTCAGTGCAAGCAACGAAGTAATACTCGGAGATGTTGATGGCCTAGGCACCCGTGTCGTCTATTGGGTATTACCTCGAGAATTTCTTGGAAATCAGGTAACGTACAGGGAAGATATGCTTTAAAAAACATAATATTTTGTTGGCTTTAAAATACTTTGTCGTACATTTTTAAGGCTATCATCTGATTAACGCTTTGCTAAAAGCATTCCTGTTTTGTAGAATCTTTTCTAACGTAATTCCTATTAATTTTTCATTTTAAGTATAAGGGATTTTTTACTTAAATTACAGAAAAGCAAGTAATCGTAAAAAAGAGCTTTGCCTAATTTTGATGCCATCACAGAAGCATAACACTTTTTTCTACAGAAATCTTTTCTAAAGACATTTGTTTGTAACATAACGTCAAATTTGCAAGTCTTTTAATGCTTTACGCTAAAAAAACTTCTTTTCAGGTCTTTTCCTATGGTGGTTTTTTAAAGTACTCAGTTTTCTACGATGTAGTTGCAGATTCGTCGCCGTACCGTGCTGCCGATATTATAATTAGGGTAGGTATAGGGCTGTTGTAATACCTTCGAGCTCTCGATATTTAATGCATTTTATTTTAGCAAGTTATACGCTTTTTTTATGGAGAGGTACTTTTGAAAGTTTCTATATATAAAAATGTTTACATGCACACGCTACAAATTTGCAGTTTTTATGTAAAAAATTAAGTAGATATTTCTTTCTTTATCAAAGCTCTTTAGTATGTTTAAATTATGATATCAGTTCAGCAGAATGTCTTAAAGTACTACAATCTCTAATGATATATTATATAATGATCGTTTAACAGTGTAGTTAAAAGAAATATTTTAGATCCTTTTTCAAGCTTTTCTTTTCATTCTCTAAAAGCGTATATTTTTCTTCTGTTAGAAATAGTTGATGTTCACAATATTTTTTTTGGAAGCCTTTATCTTCAAGTTAGCATCAATTTCAATGATTGTTTTTTCAGGGACCTAACAAGCAAACAATTGTATATAAGGACGAAGAGCTTTTATTCCCGAAGACCACCAAAGACGCTAGAATACAAATTTTAGAGGTTGGAATGATTATCAATAAAGCTATTAAAAAAAATCCCAAATAAGAGTTCATTTTTATTATTTTCGTGCTTGGAGGTAGACATGACTTGAATTTTTATAAAAAGTTCCCTTGAAATTATTGTCTGTTTTTTCTATGCAGTCATTTAGTGGTTTTAGTATTGCAATCAGATAAGATACTGGGATTCAATTTGAGACGCTGTTTAACTTTGCTAGTTGTTTGACAGTTGGGTACCTGGCTGTTCTTAGGATCTGGCTGTCCTTAAGATCTGGCTTTTTTTTAAGATCGGGCTGTCCTTAAGATCTGGCTGTACTTGACAGTTAAAGACCCTTTTTTAAAAGTAAATGGTAGTAAGGGTGTTTATCAGTGACCCATCCTTGCTCCTTGAAAATCAAGCATGTATAAGGGGTCTTCTGGGAAAGGCACTACTGAAAGAGAAATTGCATTCTACTGTATAGGTTTTACGATTGTTTTTTTTGTCTGTTATTGAAATTCTAAAGATTTTGACGAATAAAAAAAAGGTTCATTTCAATATTGTTGACTTATGATATTCATTGATTTATACCAAAAAACCTCCTTACTTTTGGGTGGAAAGTTGCTTAGATCAATTTGCTTGTAAGCAAGTTTCTTCTTTTAGAAAAATTTCTACCTTGAGAATGGAAGCAAAGCAACAAGAAGAGATGTGATGAAAGTCTTATTGGATATAAAAGAATTCCTTATTCGTGCAACGTATGCAAAAGAAACTAGAGTAACACTGTAGGTCTTTCTACAACTTTTGAGTTCTTGTTGAATGAAAGTATTTATCAATAATATTTTCAAGAAAATTATTATGCAATTGTAGTGTAATTTCGGCTCTATCTTCCTAGTAGCGCATTTATTTCTTAAAGATAATGAGAAACCAGTTTTATATATAAAAGTAGAAATTTGATGAAAAAATAATTAAAGAATGCAAAAATGCAGTTTCTGCATCCATTAAGTGGAATTGGAGACATATTTTATGTGAATAAAAGCTTTTCATACCAGTACTCTTTGTCTTGATGCAAATATCCTGAGCAGTACATTTACTTTTTCCCAACAATTACTTTGCAGAACTTATTTATTGTACTTCTGACATTAAGCTTATGACCGTATCTTTATGAGAAAAAAATACCTTTCCTGATATTAGGAAATAACAGATCTGTTTTATTGTAGTCTCAACTCTGTGTCACTTGATACAACTACACCATATTACACAAAATATGGCCGGGCAAAATACGTCGAGCATTGTCTGTGTTCTGAAGGATATCATGGATTTTCTTGTGAGGTGATTGAAATTTATCCATGCTTAATTATGTTTCAATAGAAAAAACACACATAAAAGTATTATTTTCCTTACGGTTTTTTTGCAAGAGTTAATGTCGTAACCTCTAGGTAAAAATAGGCAAAGTCTACCTCACGCAACGAATGTTTAAACACGATACACTTCGTATTCCTACAAGATAATACTCGTGACCTTTGACAACATAACACGAGAACTTACCAACTACTTCATTATTCTAATTCTAACACAACACATAAAAAATTTTATCAGCAAATAACTAAAAAGCCTTAGGCCTTCAACGACTTCCAACTTGACTTTAGATAAAAATAGATTCTTCAAACATCATATAGATTGCAGTTTCACGGCCATGACAATTTGTTAGTCTATTATCCTATAGTTTATTAAAGTGGATACAGCAAAGAACTCTACAATTGAGATGGTTGTTTCTCCTTGTAAATCAAGAGATATGAACCTACATATGGCTTTCCACAGCCCTCACAAGTTGCTGTAAAAGTAGCTTTGGCATGAAAAGTTAACGGTTCAAAACAAACGAAAAGAATCCGAATATTAGAAAATCGATAAAATGAGAAATTAAGATGAGATTTGAAAACCAAAGCGTATGGAATCTTTGCATTGATCATCGTTATATCTTAATCTCTTCTCAGGATTGTCAAAGAGGATATACTAGGGACCAGTTGCGATCAGGCACTAAAAGTTGCATCAGGTGCCAATGCAATCGACATACATTGGAATGCCACCCAGAAAATGGAATTTGCAAGGTAGTGCAAAAACCTTGTTATTCATCTAGATAACAGCATTTTCCTGCTCTTATGTAACCCTATAAATTTATCAACAAAATGTTGCTCACGTCACGAATATTCTATCTTTTATAATAGCTGCCTAAATTGTTTATAGCACGAATATAGCATATGTGGCCGTATTTTCCGTGCCTAGTTGTAAATAATATCTGCCGGACGTTTTAAAGTTTTCTTATCAAGTTATGCTATAAAACTTATAATTCTTAAACCAGTGAAAAATAACTGTATTCTGGTCTGTCATAAAGAGCTTGATGCTGTATTGGCAAAGCTTGATGCATGATAACGCACTAAGCATAAAAACTGGAGTGGCAATTTAAAATATTCTGTTCTTCACACGAAAGGCGTATTTATGTAATAAACTAATAAACTAAATTGCTGCTGATTATATCACAAGATGCATTAGCTTCTAAAGTAAAATAACTAAAACCAGAGCATATCTTTTTTAAGAACTGTCATGATAACACATTGGGTGACTACTGTGAAAAGTGCCAAGTTGGTTATTTTGGAGATGCCACCAGGGGAACAACTGAGGATTGTCGCAGATGTGCTTGTCCACTTCAAATAGATTCAAACCAGTAAGCTACATCTTTTATTTTACATCATTTTATAAACTAACGATTATCAAAACGTGTCATTTTTTACGAATTGGTATGGCAAAAACTTGCATTTTATTGCTTTAAGATCATATTTCATACGTCTTTTAAATAATTATAAACTCAGATTTAACATTACACTCAATCTTTGAAACTGTCATTGTTTTCTTTAATCTCCATATAAACTTATTGGTTGGACCAAGTGCATGTGTGATATATGCACAAGCGATATTGCATTATTAGCGCAGGTATATGCTAACATTCAAGTAAGCATTATGTCTTTATATTCAGGAAATCTTTTAATGAATAAAACACTATTATCCACACCTCTAGCGTACGTACGGGAACGTTCTGATATTGGTAAAGAGGCAATCCAAATGAACTACCTCCTTTCTTTTGTTGGAAGATAAAACAGGAATTTTTTTAATCCGATGTTGCATAGAAGTTGTTGCAAAATTATGTGCTGCATAACCCTCTTATCATAATCATGAGTGCCTCAGCGCATTCGCAAATAGTCTCAGGATTCATAAAAAATCATCCATTTTGTCTATGGAATAAGCGAAGACGATCTGGAGCAGCTTATGAGACAATGTGTCTGTAATGCTACATAGGCAGATATTTCATCTTTAGTGAAAGATTATGAACATTTTGTTGCAATCTTTTTCTTAGATTTAGTCCAACCTGCAAGAAGATGGAGGATGGCCTAGTCACTTGCACTGCTTGCAAAGAGGGATACACAGGACGAGACTGTGGCAAGTATGAATGCTATCTGATGCTTAAGAACAAACAAAATAAAGATGCTTAAGAACAATCACTACCGTTTTAGCGAAGAAAAAGTCGACAAACTTGAATCTTTTGTATGGCATAAATATGTTCTGAACACTCTTGAAGTACTACAAAGCTTTAAGCTAACTCAAAAATGCATAGATGCTTTTCTTATTTTGATAGATTTAACAACGGAACCTGAAAATGGCTCTACATAGGTAAAAACATGCGGGACTTTTTTGAAGGACCATGTCAGCGTTCTGTTCGTTTTAGAAGGTTTTGATACAAGGAAGTAAAAGTTCAATAAAAATGTTTGTTGTTCAGAGTCATATATAGTATCATTGGAAGGTGTTCAATTCGGAAGTTGTGTGTTATTGGGAGGAGTCCTTTTATTAGAGGTATGCGTTTTTGGAAGGTTTCTGTTTATGTGAGGTGGCAGTTCCTGGGAGGCGTCTCTTACTGGGAGGTTCCCGTTATTGGTAGATATCTGCTGCTAGGAGGTGTCCGTTCTGTTTTTGAGAGATGTTGTTCGTTATTTGAAGAGTATCTATTGTTTTGAGTTTTCGCCGTTAATAAGACCTATCTGACCGATATTTTAAAGTATCTTATCGTGATACCTTCATCAAGCATTCACCAAAACCAGTTGAATGTGATGCTGAAAATGTTTGTTTCGTTGGTGGATGAAACTCAGATTTGCTTCAAAACAGCTTAAAGGAAGTGCACCTGGTTGGTTTTGCTTTCATCAGTCAATGTTTTACAACCCGGCCATGCCTTTAAACGTTCAATTGACATACTTTGAGAAATTATTCAAGAAAAGGCATTCTTGATCCAGCTTGGGCAGGATTTCTTACAATTTTAGAATTTGTTGGTCAGTTTTCAAATTTGTAGGCACACTTAAACCTACTCAAAACACCAATATGTATCCTGGATGCATAGGCAACGAAATGAAAAGGAGGAAAGAATTCGTCATTTATGATGATATTTCTTTAGAGTTGGAAGTTACAAAACCTGGATAGGCCAGTACAAAGCCAATCTTGCACGACTCACTTGACAATCTTCCAATTTTGGCAATCTACCTATGACTCAGAGATTTTTTTGTTCTACTTTTTCCACAAAAAGCTATACATTTCCCAAGGTATATGAGAGAATGAAACTTCTTCCTTAGATAAGCAAATCAAATGTCAATTTATTGAGAAGGCATCTTTGAGATGAAGGAACTAGAAACAGAATTCGCATAGCCTTTTTACAAAAAAGTGAATGGTAGTAAGTTTACATAAACTTTGGATTTTCTCGCTCTTCCTTTAGATGTGCGAAAGGCTACGCTGGTAATCCAAGATATCCTGGAGGGAAGTGCATCAAGACCTCACGAAGAGGTAATGAAAACATGCTTTTCTTCAGAGGGCCAGTGAGAAGTATTCAGTATTAATTACAGTGTACTCCTGTTAGTGGGAAATCTATAAGTGATTGAAAAATCTGTCAAATTTAGCGAATCTCATAGTTAGTGCGAAAAAAGAAGAGAAACAATGAATTTGCCATTTTTTTATTCTATTTTCAGAGACAAAATGTATACTTGATGAAAACTGTAAAAGAACTTTTAAAAGAAAACATAATATAATACTTATTGAAGATTTTGCCTGACACTCTTCAAAGTATGAAATATCAGAAATATGATGCTAAGTTTGGAAATATATATAGATATAAACACTATTTGTAGATCTACATAGGTGAATCAGAGACTCGGCTCATTGCCGTAAAGACTGGTCCCGCTTGCTTATAGAAAATATCACCAATGGAGTCCAAGGTTGAAAAAACACCTCCTTTCTGCATTAGAAAAAAGTGTTTGTTAGCTGTCGATTTATTTATCGAAAGAAACTTCTGGCACGTTTAACTGATGCAATGAATATATGTCATGTATCAATAACATGTCGGAAATTATTGGAGCCTCTTTTTATTATAATATTGTTATTTCGAACATTTCCTGAGCCAATCCTTGGACATAACAAAATATGATGCCAATTATGCAGACATATATCTTATTGCAGCTTTTACACATTATGGCCTAAAATAAAGACTAATGATTTGCTTTTTAAAAAGTCGACAGAGTGCCAATGATCAGCGTGAAACCAACGCATAGGTTGGACCCCATTGGCTACCGTGCCATCTTCAGGTGTGAGGCATCTGGAACGGGCCCGTTTCATATCACGTGGTCAAGGAAAGATGCGAGGCCTTTGCCAGTTGGAAGATCACGTGTTTTCTCAAGAGGCAGTGAATGGATACTGATCATTAGCAGTCTTCGAGTAGAAGATGCTGGGGATTATGTTTGCAGTGCACGCAGCCATTTTGGAATTGCCTCTTACAGAGTTTCTCTGAAGATTTACGGTAAGCTTTTTGTACTCACAATCTAATTTTCTGCTGGAGAAAACTAAGTATAAACTAATTAGAAATTTCTTTGATTTAGCAATCTTTAGCTAGTATTCTAGAGACTTATATTGCTTTGATAATGGTGTGATGCAGTGACTTTTTTGTGAGCATTTTGGTAGAGTTAGGTAGAAAATCTTGCCCCAGATTGGTTGATTTTCAGGCTTGATCATGTCAATAAGCTTCTAATTATTCTATGCTGCTGAAAGAACTGCATATTTTAGTAAAATCTTTAGCGGCAGTTCATGTCATTTTCAACTACACTTTCTCCATTTCACCATAAGCAACCAGGAGTTTGTAGTTCCTTATTGCCTTTTCCTTCTTAGCTGTTGCTTTCTTTCTTAGTTTTTACACCTGAAATTTTCTTTAAATTGATGGCAATCTGAGAACCCCAATGTAAAAAGATTTCCACCGAGGCATTTTGCCATCGCGCAGATACCAGAAACCTGAAGTGTCACTGTAACATATTAAAAATTGTTGGCAACATGGCATTTATATGTTCTCTGAATTAATTAGTTTTCTGTTTACCGGTCTATTGTGCAGTGCATGGTTCCTTACAACGTTTCACACGTGAAACTCGAGTTGTAACTCAGAACCGGAGAACAGTCTTGTTCTTTTACACGATATCATGTTCTCTAGATAAAATCCGAACTGGAGCTGGATATCAATGAAAATTATTCTTGAAACTAGGCTTTCTTCAAACCTAACAATGTTTGAATCGTCTGGTTTTCAAGATCGATCACTGCTTTCTTTTACTTATACGAACAATCAAACTAAATACAAACAAAATACCGATCTGAAAACTAAATGTCCTCAAAAAGGAATTTTTGTTTCCAATTTTTGACACAATCGTAATCACGTTTAAGTTCTACGTTGTTGATGTAGTAGTGTACAGAAATAATTTATTCTTTATTAATTTGCAATAATATTTATATTTGTTCCTTGTTATCTGTGTAGAACTTTTTATAAGAACTTTTATAAGAAGGTGGCAAAGTTGAAACTAGGTATGTTCCATAGCTGTGTCTTACAAACAATTTCAAACAATTTCACACTCTTGCAAATTATTCATCTCCATGCCTTGCCAAAGAAACAAAAACAACGTAACTACGAGTTATGGAATATCTTCTGTGTAGGTCTTGTAACTTCATGTATTTTTTTTAACCTAAAAATAAGTTAAATTGTAGATTTTAGCCAAATTTCTAAACCTGAGAAGCAGACCAATATTACAAAGATCTTTCGAGACAGCAATTTAAGCCTTAAGTAAATTATATAGTTGGCACAATAATAACTTTTAATTTCATCACCTTAACTTTTTTAAAATTTTTAAAATTATCTTGATATAATTTATAACGAATCCAGCCAAACAAAGAAAATTTGGTACATTTTTATTTGCAGCGGATGGTTTAATAAGCAGTCATGGCCGAGTGGTTAAGGCGACTGACTAGAAATCAGTTGGGGTCTCCCCGCGTAGGTTCGAATCCTACTGACTGCGTATTTTTTTCACTTACGTACAAAATTCTTTATTCTTCTGAATGTTTTAATAAGAGTCTATCTACACTATTATAGTTTATTTCATCTACTGGAAACAATTTTTTTTGCAAAACGGAAGAATCCGGTTGGGATAAGCCAGTAAACCGACAAGACACGAAACCTCGTGTCATACGCATCGAGGAGTTTTTTCACTGCATTAATGAATCACAAGTCCCCTATGGTCAGGGAGCACTCTCCAAAGAATATGACATCCAGCAAGACACAAAGCCTATTCGGATTCTTCATGTCCGCTCAAAGAGCTCAATTTGTTCAAATGCCCTCTCAATGCAGAATTGTTAGATAAAGTTTTCCTGTTAAATGCAACTTAATATGAAAGTGCTACTGATTAATGATTTTCTCTGAATTATTTTAGCTAATAAAGTCACGAAAATTGCTGTGAGTGTAACACCAAAGTCTCTCAGAGTCGCTGAAGGAGCTTCAGCTCTTTTTCTTTGCAATGTTAACACCGCTATTCTTACAATCTCACGTTCGTGGTCACGTGATGGCTATCGTTTGTTGCCCGAGACTGCAGAAGTGGTTGATGGAACTTTGGCATTTCGTAATGCAAGAAGGGAAGACAGTGGAGTATACACATGTTCAGCATCAAATCAAGTAACGGTTGATTCCGCGACTGTTGTCCTAAGTGTTGGAGGTACGAAGATCCATAGATTTATTACCTTTCCCATGTCTGCGATCCTATTGATGCAATTTGTCAAAGATGCAAAACATTTTGTCAAAGAATCCAGATTCGGGTAGATTTTGTGACATGTTTTTTCCTCGGGACGCTTCTTTTTGAAAATATCAAAGTTCTTCTTTAGATTACAGTCTCACGAAAGATCATCGAGAAAAGGTCATATTATCTTAATTTAACTTTTAACAACTTTTTTAAGTGATTTTGTTGTTCCTTTCTCATTCAACTGTGCAATTAATCCATTTTACAGCTTTGATTGGACCGCAAATATCACTATGGCCATTGACACAGACGGTTGATGTAGGTAAACCAGTCAATTTTCAATGCACTGCTACTGGTTTTCCTAAACCTGAAATATCTTGGTCAAAATCAGGGAACAAACAAGACGAGGGATTTAGATACATTTACTCAAACAACGGCTTTTTGAGCATTGGAAATGTTCGTGACAATGATGAAGGAGAATATGTTTGCACGGCTAGGAACAAAGTAGGAGAAATCTCGAGAAAAGCAATACTTTTTGTTAGAGGTATGTAAAAATTAACAAAAATATGAAAGTATGCCGATTCTCATTTCTGTACAAGAAAGATCCAGAATCTAAGTACAAAACTCACTTTTGCAACACCCATCTCTCCCCCTCTGTATCAATTACTGCTATTCACTTCATCAAACCTTGAAAGCTTCTGCTATAGATGTAACGTGCGATTCAACGATATAGATGTCAATATTGGCAGTATTTTCATAATATAACTCACATATGATTTCATATAATATGATGAAGATTTTCTTAGCATTTCTTGATAACAATAAGCTACTTCTTTTATCAAAATGTCTTGAATTTCTCAAGTTTCCATAGAATGTGGCTGTGAGTGACAAAATTTTCAAATTTGGTTTTAAAATCTATCTAGTCTCTGCTGTTGACTTTATCATATCATTCATCAGAATTATCGATGGAGATTTCATTTCAGCTCCAAATAGAAAACTCTCAATATCGGTTTATCCTGAAAAGATAAAAGTTAAAGACGGTGAAAAGGTGACATTGAAATGTGCTGCATCTGGACAGCCTGAGCCATCAATAAATTGGAATTTTAGAAAAGGTCAGAATGTCAGAGTTCATGGTGGCACATTGACCTTTCTGAAAGTTAGTTTGAGTGACGATGGTGTCTACCTCTGCACTGCAAGTAACCATTACGGGTCAGTTAGTGCAAAGGTCAAACTGAATGTTATTGAAGGTAAGTACCTACATACATCTTGTTCTGTTTTCGACCTGTTTAGGTTCAAATCGCATAGATGCTGTTGCAGATAGCATAGTATCTATTAAAGCCAGTTTTGCTTTGACAAAGATTCTTTTTATGGATACTTGATATTTCTGATAAGCTACTGTCATAATTTGTTTTAGTTACTTTCTCTTATACTAAAATGTCAATTTCTAAAATGTTGTTTTATTTGGTTGTTTGGGGTGTAAAAATAGCCTGAAAACGTCCTTATTGCTAAAGATAGATTTAACTACATAACAAACTTTTGATTTTTTTAATATACATTCTCAAAAATTTTGCAAAACAAATAAAGTACAAGACGATGCCTCACGGAGCATGGAAATACAAAGCAACCCTGTGACCATTAGATTAAACATATTTACCTCGAATTGGAATTACATTTACGGTTACAAATTACATGTTGCAGATACCACTTTTTAGTTTAGTGTCCTGAAACAACGACCCTTCTCCTGTTAGTGTCCAGTGAATGTTTATCGTTGTTAAACTGTGTTGCAACATGTATCTTGTTACATTTCAGCAAATAGAAACGTGTCCCTGAAGGCAACCATGCATCCGCAGACTTTGGTGATAGATCAAGGAAAATCAGCATTGTTGCGATGCAATGTGACAGGAGAATACTCAAAGCTTACATGGAGTAAAGGCGATGGTTTATTGTCATGGAAACACGAGGCAAATAAAGATCAATTGAACATCTCACATGCTACGGAAGAGGACCAAGGAACTTACTTTTGCATGGCCACGTACAAAGATGTCGTTGCTCGCGCAGCAGCCAATGTCATCGTGCAAAGTATGAACTTGTTTGACTAATTGTAGAATACATTGCGTCACAATCACAAATCAACGAAGGCAATATATGTTAGGACCAAATCATCTGTAACCGATTTTAAGATGTTCGCTTATGATACTTTACCTAAGCCTTCAGTAAGTACCTTGCACAAATACAGACATCGTATGAACATTCTATTCTTATCTGATAAATCCATAATATGTCAATTTAGTCAAAATTAGCTAATAAAGATAGCAAGCATGATGACGTCTATCAGTTGTATGCAAGCAGTTGGATATTCTCGTGTGACAATTAACTTATTCTATCTTTTTGTAGAAGCTGTTTTTCCAAAGCTGGTTATTCTTCCAAAAAGAATTAGAAATGCATCTGTTGGAGACCATGTTCATTTCAGATGTTCTGTGACAGAAGGTAGACCAGTTGACGATATTATTTGGTACAAGGGAAAGGGCTCTCTTCTTGAAGATAGCAAGGAACAAGGAAACAGCAGTTCAGATTTAGTTTTAGAATTTCAAAAGGTTAAAAAGGAGGACGAAGGAGAATATTTCTGTGCTGCCGTCAACAAAGCTGGCTTTGCAAAGTCAAGCGCTGTTTTGAATGTTTCAGGTAATCTGCTAGTCTGAATTTGTTTCTAGTAGTTAGAAGTATTATGGCAATATCTTAAAGCTACTCGTTGGCTTTGGAATTAAGTTTGAATATCTTCCCTATTTGGGCCTAATCTTTTAAAATCTTTGTAGATAAGTGCTAGCACTAAATGCTTTGCGTGTGAGTGGCACAGCTTTGTTCTTTGACTTGAAAGTCAGATCGAATACCTCTGCGGTAGGTCAATTACTTTTAGATTTTCCTCCTGCCCTTGTTGTGTCGCTCATATTTTTTCAAACTATTAGAAAAGTCTTTACAGATAGCTTCAAGAATCAGGTTTCGAATGGTATCAAATTTTCATAGCTTTAAAATGATACCATTCCAAACTTGGTTCTTGAAGCTATCTGTAAAGACTACTGTGGGTAATTTTGGCTCCATTGATGTCAACTCATGAAATACAAACCGAATTTCAAGCAACTTGTGTTTCTCTTTTCACTCTGTTTATTTTCGAAATGTTCCATACATCATTTTTGCAACTAAATTCAAATTTTCATGTTATTTCCTTTAATTTTTCACGTGTTCCAGGAAAACCAAGAATTGTATTAACGCCTCGAGGAACATATAATACATCAAAGGGTGGCTATATCATATTTGAGTGTGAGGCATCTGGTTATCCTGTTCCAAAGGTTGAATGGGTTTTGCCACGGAATAGCACAATGAAAAAAGCTACAATAACATCCTGGCCAGGATATGCAAGAATAGAGATGAAGGAGACGGCAAATGCTAGTGGAGAGTACATCTGCAAAGCTACAAATGTGGAGGGAGAAGCTACAGACTGGGTGAATGTCAGAGGTAATATGGTTAAAACTTTTTTATTGGATTACCTGACACCCTCCAATAACGGACATCTCAAATAACAGGCACCTCTGAATAAGGGACATCTCAAAGCGATGGATACCATCATAAAACCAACATCTCCCAGTAACGGACAAATGCCTTTAAAACACTACTCCTTCCAGTGGTCGAAGCTTTGTTAAAATAATCTCAATACCATTAACCCTGTGACACAACAAACAGTAACTCTGATATCATAGACTCTGGCAATAGCGGTGCCAGGGGGCACTGCGGGGACACGTCACCCCCACCCCACCCCCCAGTTCTCGGCAGGAACAATTTTGTATTTCTTCTAAATTCTATGAGAAAATGTTTGGAGAGGGCTGATATTTTGGCAACATACTTTAATCGATATAATCCCATGATTTTCAAACTGCCTTTACATAGTCAAAAAAATTGTCATGGGCGTTGTCTTCAGGTAAAATTGTCGTTCCTTATTGGTAATAGGGCGTTTTTCAGTGCAATTTATTAAGAATAACATTTTGAAAATTCTCTTTCACGCCCTGTTTGTGATTGACTACTCCCTCTCCCCTCATTTGAAAGTCTTTCGGTAGAGCCACAAATAAATAGATATAGACCGGCGTGCTGTTGAACTCTTGTACTTTACTCAATATTTCGGAAACTTTGAAGGAACATTTGAAGATAGCACAATAAGGGACGCCATTTTGCCCCCTTGCCCCCCCCCTGCGATCTCTCCCCAAGCACGCCACTGTTGCTCTGGTACCGTAGTTTACGGAGGTGCCGCCATTCGTCTGGTACTGTTGTTTACGGAGGCTCCACTGTAGGACATCGAGCCGAATGAATTATTCCTTTTTACAGATCTGACAATTTTAAACGTTTACAACTTGTCATAGAAAGTGAATTATAAAAGAATGTCATACTATACATATAGCATTTCTGATAGAAGCTGTGTTTTCGTATATCTGTATATCTGTTTTTCCAAGCTTAGATATATTTTCTTAGATAAATACCAACACTCCAAGAAAATTTTAGAGTAACTTTATCACAAGTGCTAAAGAAAATAGTGAGTAACTGCCCATGTTGATGTTGCTAGCACTCGCCAAAATCCTAATTAGTCTTCTTGGGTAAATTTAATTCAAATTTACCACGTTTTTTTGAGTTGATTTTTCTTGGTATTCAGTGAACAGAATGAATATGAGTCCTGTTGTAAAAGTCGAGCCAGCTTTAGTCATCGCAATTTCTGGGGAAGAGGTGGAACTCAAGTGCAACCTTTCAGGAGTTCCGACACCAGAATTTGCCTGGATAAAACTGCGAAGGAATGCAAGAAGTGTTCTTTTGTCGAAGAGAAATACTTTGGTATTGGAGGATGTACAGGAAAAAGACGAAGGCACCTACGCTTGTCGTGCCTGGAATAAGTTTGGCACAGCTGAGGCTAGGACTAGGTTAAGAGTGACCGGTAAGGATAATCTTCTCTCATCCTTTTCCTTGCTTAATATAGGCTTTAGTTGCACTTTTATACTTAATATGGATATACTTTTGATCAAGATCGACTATTGACCATACTAAGTATATGTGACTGTGACTTGTTTCCGTTAGAGACAATTAAAAAGTAGATGTTCCTCGAGTCGCAACCACCTGTTCACCAAATAGTTGGCACCCTACCTCTCATCTTAAGAGCATTGTATTCCTTACATTCTAAATGCCTTTTTTTGTAAAATATCTTTAAATGAACAAAGCGTAACCTACTTATCATACACTCCCCTCACAAAAGTATTGCACCACCTTGTTCAAAATGGCGGCATTTTTTGTCAATATTTTTACAATACAAAACATTTGAATGCATGAATTGGGTGAAATAGGCATATCTTATAGCAAATTTCGGCGGGAAAAGTTTGCAAATTTTATTGACGCCATATAATACCTAGCTAGAAATGTAAATTTTAAGCAAAAACATTATTGTTTGAAAAAGTGTAGACCACGCCGAAGGGAGAAAATTTATCAAATGAGATGCGAGTCCCTACAAAATTTTTACAGGGAAGTGGTCTTTAGTTTTTGAAAAATTGTTGACCATGTTAGATGCAGCCACACAACAGCTTCAATAAATCAAAAAAGGTTTCTCAAGAGTGATTTAGTAGTAATAAACCGAGAAGTGGGTTAATAAAAAAAATTGACGTTAGAGGGGTAGCGATTTTGTCTGTTTTATTTCACCATGTTTACACCAAGGGACAGTAAAAGACATGAAACTCAACGCTGAGCAATGTTTTGCAGCTCAAAATTCTTCCAAACAAAAAATAATGAGTGTCTTACACAAATATAAAATAGAAATTCACCTGCGTAAAAGGAAACCATTTTTACAACGATTTATTTCCGAACAAGATAAATTCAAGTTTTTCCGTGGCGTCGTTCAAGTCCAGATTTGTACATCGTTGAAAATGTTTGGCTTCGTATGAAAAACAATCCGAACCATGATTTTAAAGGTTCTTGAAGAACCAAAGAATTGTTAATTAAAAGAATTCTTCAGGTTTGGAATGAAATCCCACAATAATACGTTGCCCAACTATATGCAACCAATTCAAGGAGGCATAAAGCGGTTTCAAAGTTCATAGCTCCTATCAAAATATTAAAATTTGAAACTGTTAAAAGACGTTTTGAAACCGTTTTTTTGAAAAAAGTTTTTCTAAAAAGATTGAAGTTTTGATTGGTGGTTGTTTCACTTCCGACACACTCCCATTCGCCACTTAAACACAATCAATTCGCGCAACAATAGTTTTTCGATAATTCCTGTGCCATTTTCCCTCCTTCGAGGTGGTGCAATACTTTTGTGAGGGGAGTGTATAAGGCGAATATACCAATTACTTTACAGCAACGTAAGATAACAATAGTTTAATATCAAAACTCATATTGAAATAAATATGAAATTTTCCTTGATTTTTTACACAAATTTTATTGAAAAATCGAAGCCTCGTGCCCTCTTTCATTAGTTCCTCCTACGGTTGTGGTATCACAGACCTCAGTTGTAATTCTCAAAGGAAGGTCATTCAGGCTGCACTGTAAGGCTACAGGCCATCCAGAACCAGTAATCAATTGGACGAGACCCAACATGGATACAGCAAATGCGTTTGACATGAATTCTCAAACATTTGAAGTTCTTGATGCAGGGCTCAAGCACGCAGGGACGTATAAATGTGCTGCTAAAAATATTGGAGGCATTTCATTCAGTTATGTCAACGTGACAGTTCTCGGTATGTAGGGGAAGGTTTTTTTAAATGTTTACGATTTTGATATTTACAGTTTTGATAATCGTGTTTCTGATACACGAAATTGTTGATCTTTGCGATATTGCCATTCACCATTTAGATATTCGAAATTTTTATACTTGCATCTTTTAAAGGTACTTTTGCGTCGTAGATATAAAAACATTGCTCATGTTATTCAAGTAAAAGATTTCTATCTCACTTTGTCTAGTTTTGTCTTAAGATAATATCTGGGGTGTTGGAATTTTATCTGTATCCTGATTATAGTCATATGCATTCCAAACAATTTTTCATTTACAATACAATTTTGCTCATTCTGATAGCAATAATTTAATATCACTCAATTCATGTCACTGGTAAACTTAATTTTTTTCCCATCGTTTCATTTTTTAAAGTTATTATCTTTCTCAACTGATTAATCTTGAAAAGCTTTGGAAGATATTATCTGAGTTCTAGACAAGTATATTTTTGGAATACATCGAATTTGGTGTAGAAATTTAAAGGTTCTTTATTGGAAAGTATTGAAATCGGACATAAAAATCTCTAGCTCATTATAGATAAAGCAATGCTCTAGCAAGTAAGAACATGCTGGTATGAATGGCTCAGCAATAGATCTTTTTGCCACTGTACAGTTTTCTAAACAAATTGAAATATTTATATAGCCATGTTCGCAAACGGAATCTCAGAACTATTTTCCATAGTTCTTCCTTCTAAAATTAAAGTTTCACCTCACCAGGCTGGTTTTTCTCAGAATTAATAAACATTATTTTTCTTGCAGTACCACCAGTAGTACTTTCATCGTCTGAGCAAGAGAACATAGAAAAGTTGGGAGATAACATTTCTTTCTTCTGCAATGTCTCTGGATACCCTGATCCGAAGATTAAGTGGCTAAAAGACCACGACACTGACTTGTGGGTGGATGGGCCTATTTTGAGATTGGTTAATCTGACATCAGAGTCACAAGGGCAGTATAAATGCATCGCAAGTAACCTGGCAGGCCAAACCCAATCTGTCTTCAGCTTAGCAATAGAAGGTAAGTAGTAACGTTTACTTTAACGCTCCCATGTTCTTTTGAAAGCATTCAGAATCTGATGACGTGTGTCTGCCATCACCGATATTAAACATATTGGTAACATTTCTTTCTAAGAAAACTTTGTTCCCTTTTTCGTCCACTTTGTGCTAACCAATCTAAACACCGAACCTAAATTCACCTATCCCAGTGCAAAAAGTAAATATATAAATTAAAGAGGTTTAAGGTGGCACAAAAGACAAAGGCACTTTTCTCCGACACTCTGTAAACGTCGTTTAATGATCAAAAGTAAGTAGTATATTTATAACATGAGAGGAAGAAAGGCGCGTGTGATTGGCTCTTTTTAAACCAATCAGCGAACTCTAACCTCTGACCTAGTTGAAGGGTCCAAGAGAGAAGACGAATTCTTTCTGTCTACACTAGTCGGAACCTTTTGTTTTGATATGAACAGATTAGAAGATTCCAAAACTTCTAAGTTAAAATACGACATTGCCTTCTACAAACAAGGCAGGAACATATTGGGACTGGGAAAATAAAGTAAATAAAGCAGAGGAAAGAAAGGAGATTAGATTGTCATATATGTGCATTTTTCAAGTGCATGGCTTTCGAAAGAAATTTTAAACTCTTTGTCAGATATGTTGACTTAATCAACATATCTGGATGGCAAAGATTAGCTAAATTACAACAACGTGCCCTGGGACAGGCTTTTTTACGAAAATAGGCTTCTTTTTATTTCTACACAAATAGACTTCTCTACAAAAAAGAAAACTTCCTTTCGGAAATATTTTCACATGTAACTTCAATGTTCTATTATAAATTTGAAGGGTGAAGATTGTTAAGCATGAGAACGAGCAATGTAGTGATATGAAAATAACAAGGGGGCTCAACCAACAACAAAATATAGAGATTGGTATCTTTTGGCAATAACTAAACTGAGCTCCCTAGGCCATAAAAGAACAATTACATAATATACTTTTATAGAAGGGGAAATTGATATGGATGTCAAGTGCTAAAAACGATCCCATTGTACACAATTATCAATTAAAAATTAAAGCTCAAGTAAAAAGAATTGATTTCAGTGATAAAATTTAGTGAGAAGGATTTGGGGGTGTTGATAATGATCGAAGTTTGGTGCCACAATCTTCAGATGACTGGAATATGATAGAAACGCCCATTTTTAAAATTCAGTTTTTAAGTTCAAGATAAAGTAGATTAATAAAGTAAATTTTTCGCATCATTTTATTTCAACTGCCTGCCAAATATCGTTTTTTACCGAATTGAAGCAAAATTTACCGTAGGGCTAGGGCACAGAAATATCTGGGGGTATCACACCCCCACCCCCTGTAACTCCGTCCCTGATCAAAAGTGTATGTACTTTATTTTCCGAAAAAATTGTAAACTATTAGGGTGGTTTGCTCATACATCAACATTTAACATCATACATCAGCGAAAAAGTAGGGGGGGGGGCTACCTTCCGGGCGCGGAGGGACTCGGTTAAGAATTTAACTATTTTGAAGTGCTTTTGTATAACGCACCAAAAAGACATTAATCTGACTCGAAGAATTTTGCGTGGAGCGCCCAAATAATTTTAATGTATTAAGCGATCTGAAACAAAATATTGAATCAAGGAAGAAAATATGTCCACCGAGCCGGATTCGAACCAGCGACCTAAGGATATCATAGTTTTGAACACTCTACAGTCCTCCGCTCTACCAACTGAGCTATCGGTGGGACACAAGCTCGGTATGGCTAACAACATAAGGCTCAAACTGCTAACAACAATCTGTAGCACGGTGTTAGACAAAAGGCATGGAAGTACGGATAAAAATACAAAAGTACTTTGAAAAATGAAATTCAAATTCAAATTAATTTAATATTTAGCAATCATTTTACAATATTTAAAGTCAATAAAGTGTTTAACAATTAAACAATAACTAAAATTTTAACAATAAAATTTAAGGATATTTGGAGGAACCGAAACGGTTTTTGAGCCCAATCCTCTAAATTTCAGTGAATACAGTAATATGATTATAGTAACAGTGAAAATGATTAATAATAACAACAATATAGGTATCTAAACATTACAAGATAATATGAGTTCGAATTTTATATTTAGAACAGTAACAGAACAATTTGTATAATAATGAAAATAAAAATTACGACAAAACAAAATTCGAAATGGGGTGCAAAATAAGGAGGAAAGAAAGTAAAATGGGGAGGGGAGACACGTACATTCTCTTTAGATTAGCAATTAAGAAATCAAACATAGATTTTTATGTTCAGATTTCATTATACTTTTGTAGAAGCCAGTTGCGAAGCTGTTTCTGAAGCTATATCTTGCTTGACATCGTACGAAGTTCCAATGGAATCTCGTTCCACATCTTGAGTCCATTAAACATAATTGATCGTATTTTGCGGTTAGTTTTGGCTTGGGGACATTGCAAATTTCTTATTTGCAGTTAATATTGTATTGTAGCTTTACCTTGATGTATTTCTTTCGAGCAGATCACAAAAAATTCCATTTGAGATTCTGCATTTTACGAAAAATTGGTTTGAAGCTACGGAAAATTGCAGTATTTCTATCAAAGTTCTTTATCTTTCCAGTTTTGTTAAGATTTCCACTCACAGATTTAAGACAGGACTCACTACGACTTCCCCAATTGATTAAAGCCTAGTTGATATGAGACTCAATAGAAGAAAGCCCTGAAAAAATCTGAAACAGACAACACAAATTAGTAGCCAGCAAAATTTGAAATCAGAAATATTCTGCTGCCAAACAGGGAAATAGAGGGACCATTGAAAGTGGAGGGACCAAAATGTCAAAATTCTGAAAGGATTTAGGAAAAGCTGTCACCGTGGTTGGTGGCAAGAAATTTTTTAGAAATATGATATCTTAGGGACGGCCAGGACCAAAGGAAAATCCGAGGCAATATTTTTAAGCTTTGTTTTATCAATTTGTTCCATAGTTGGAATAGGAATGGTCTTGCAAAGTTTTTGAAAACCCTTTATAGATTTAAGAAGGAACCAAATTAAGAAAATAGATTAAACACGGTTTGTTAAAAAAATTTAACAATGGAATGTCAACAGAAGAACTATCAACTAGAATAAGAGATTAAGCAATTTTGTACAGATGGGAGTTGATTTTGTGAAATCTGATTCAATTTTTCTGGAATAAAATGCATTGAGCAAAAGAAAAAAGACTCACGAAAAGATTTGGAAAATTTTCAAACTTGGCTGGTCAAAACGAGTATTAATAGAATTCTTAATTACGTCTACATTAGATTTTCTCTTCCTTAGTGAAAATGGATTATTGGTACAATCAAACTTTCACCTTTATTCAGGAACGGTGCCACTGGGGGCAGGGGGCTGGAGGGTTTCAAGGGCTGGATAAAGTTTTTTGACCTTTTTTTTAATTTTTTTTTCTAAAACAGAGTACGAAATAAAAAAAGAGCAACGTGTTTTTGTACTGCCTGATTATTTGATCTATTTACTAGCATATTTAGGTATATTTCTATTATTTGTCTATAATTGGCATCGATTCAGTAAATAACTTAAAGTCTAATTATAATGTCTGCCTTTTGGATATGTAAACAGTCCCCAGTGAAAATACACGAGATGCAAATTTCTGTTCAAGAAGTAAAATTCTATCAATCAATACGGCAGCTTCTTGTTACTCACATCGATGTACCCTCTGAACGAAATGTCACCCCTCTTTCTTTCCCCAACGCCTGTCGCTAGAGTTTTAGCATGACTTCTCCTTTCCCAATTTTTCTTGAAAATCGACAATCAAAAATCGTCTATTCTGAGCTGTTTAGTGATTTGTTAAATTTGAGTCTTGAAGATGCCTTTTTAGCCATTCTCGGATGCTTAATTTCAAATTTTGTCTCTGTTATTGACTATACTTGCAAATATTGACTTGACTGGTCCTTTCCATTTCTGGCCCCTTCAACGTCGGGTCCCTTCCATATCTGATTTTTTCAACACCTACTCACTTAAACATCTGGTCCCTTTAGCATATTCTCACTTCAAAATCTTGTTCCTTCAGCTCCCAAGAACGAATAACTCAGCTTCAATTACTTAAGCTGCTCTGCAATGTGCATCAAACTTAATCACACAAGTGCCATTTATATGGAAGTTTCAATGCACTTGTAAGAATCGCTCTTCTTCCTACTCATTTAAGGGGTATTGTATTATAACAGTTGTGTTTTAATTATTTTAGAAGTACCAACTGCGAACATTATAGAGGATATTGGTACTGGATCATTGGTTATTCCTGCTGGGAAGAATATAACATTGAACTGTTTGTCTTCTGGAAACCCCGAGCCTGTGGTAAGATGGGGGAAAACAGAAGGAAGACTGCCCAAAAGTTTCATGGTGGAAGGTGGTAGATTGAAAGTCATAAATGCCAGTGTAGATGACGCTGGGACATTCCGCTGCACTGCATTCAATTCGCTTGGCTATGTTCATGCCGATATTCGTCTTATTGTACAAGGTAAGCACCTGACAAGCTGCAAACTTTTGGAACTGGATTTCAGGGGATCTTTTCGCATACAAACTAGTAGATACTTTCCCCCATTTGGCCCTAAAATGTCTCAATTGGTAGCCCAGTGAGTCCTCACTTGTAGGTACCTTTTTTTAAAATGCTTTAACAAACAATTTTAACGATTTCTGTTTACTGTTGTTTTGAGCTGTCTTGCTTCCTATATGCAGCGTCACAGACAATTATTAACGATACATACTCTCGTGTTTTTCGTTCTGCATAGTGGCCATTTTTCACTATATCCCCACCAGTAGAAATTGCTTGAAAAGCTCCTTTTGAGCGCGGAAGGTGTAGATGTACTAAGTCTATGCAGAGTCAATAGAAAAACTATGGTCTGGAAGGCCAGTGAAGATCAAAATAACATCTTTTTGTTAGCGTCGTAAATCGATCACGTGACATTTACCGCGGACAGTCTTCCGCTGTTGACATATCATTGCCAGGTTTGTATATCATCGTAAAACCTTTGAATCAAATCGTAAAAAATTTAAGTCAAATCCCATATTTAAGTCGTTTTTACAACTCTGATACCATGATAAACATTTTTTGAAATGCCTGGAGATAACTGTGCTGTTTTTTGGCTGTGGATCAAGCCGCAGGACGAAAGGATTGGGTATTTTCCAGCTTTCAGCGCCGAGCAACGACTGTCGAAAAAAATGGAAAAGAGATCTCCTGAACGAAATCACAAAAAGCCGGGTTGTTGACAAGGCTTTCGAAGAAAACATCGAAAATGATTCAGTGTACCTTTGCGAAAAACATTTTCAGCCAGATGACATCGAAATATGTAAGTAATAATAAGTGGCTGATAATTAACAAATGTCATATCTCTATACTCTAACGCTAATAGTTAGGTCATCTAGACACCTAGCTAATTTCCTCTATGACTTTAAATCCAATTAGAGACTGTCGATTTATTATGTTACTTGTTGGTTGGATGAATTTTTAAACGTTGTTGTCGACTGGTTTAATGGAACAGTAACTTTTCTGCACTTGATTACATTCGTAATATTTTCAAATACTCCAATTACCACTACCTTTTTAGCATCAAGTTTGAATACATTTCCCTCTACAACGATGCTCCCTTTGTTATGCTGTCAAATTTTGAAAAATGCAACTAATAGATTCTAAATCCTTTACAGAACTTTTGCTTTGAGCACCAATAACGTTTGTAGCTTCAAAAAGTTTACCATAGAATTTTTTATCCAGCATTTATTATCCAAGTTTTTAGGACACATTTTCTTTTATTTTTGGTTGTTTTTAAATATATTCTGCCTGTAAAAAAAGCCTTTCCTAAAGAATTTCAACTTTTGAATACGTTCCTTCACCTCTTTAGTATTGAGCTTTTAATATGGTTATATGAATTGTGCTCCCTTCATACAACTATTTTCATTTACTTATTTTAACTTTAAAGGAGTTATTATGATAATTTACTTTGTTATTCTGTGCATAATTCTATTTTTCTCTTTTTGCAACTTGTTTTCCATTATGCAGTTATTTTTATTACCATATCGAAAGCTGTCAAATTTTCTTATTGGAGCAAAGTGAACTGCAATGATTCAAAAATTATTTCCTAATATGTTCATTATGTTTTCATTTGTTCATTATTGACTCATTAAATTGTTTATTTGTTATAGTTGAGTCTGGAAAAAAGAAAATGAAAGATGGTGCTTTACCAACAATTAACATGCCTAAACAAAAAAATGGTGGGAATGAACGTCAACCATTAGTTAGGATTATTTCAACAGAACAACAACCAGCGCCAGGCCCAACACATTATTACAATAGCTTTAAAGAGCTTTGTCAAAGATTTGAAGGTTTTTAGTGCCTTATTAAACGGTCTGTAATTTTCCAAGAAGATAAAGTGCTTTTGAGAAGAAATGAAATCCCTTATGTTGTTCCAAAATATGAGATAACAATTGATGATAGTCTTGGCTACAGTATATCTGTTTATGGTTGGCTGTTACCAGATGACCACATGCTTTATCTAGGTCATAAAAGGTCTGTTTGGAACGTAACTTTTTCTAACCTTGTGAGCCAACTAGCGTCATTCCAGCTTTTTCCTGGTATTTCTGTCACTGACAGATTAAGCAATGTTGTCAACCATGTTGTTCCTAAACACCTTGATCCACTTTTCGCAGAGGAAGGGAACCCATTTCTATCACTTGAATACCATAAAACAATGAACTGTGAAGTCCTTGTAACAATCAATAAATGCAGTTCTTGTTGTGAACAGGACCCTTTGGCAAAGCTTTCCAGGGTTGCAAACGACAAGCGTATGCCAATTCCAGCCAAACTAAAGGCACCAATCTCTGGTACATCAACAGAGCGGATAAAATTGACTTTGAATCAACAACGTCTGAAATGTGTTGAGCTTCAAGGCAAGGATGACTGAAATGGAAATTGAATTGGAGAAATCCTCAGTTGAAATTGATGCAGAGTTGAGCAGTGACTGTTTTCACATTCTTGATCGTGCCGAAATGATACCATTCGTGAAACTATTTTGGGAGGAACAAAGGAAAATGATTGGCAAGTCAAAATAAGCTGTTAGATTTGACCCAATGATGATAAGATTTTGCCTTTCGCAAGCACACAAATCTGCTTCAAGCTATGACGAATTTCTCGACACATTTGAAGAAGTATTGCATTTGCCACGTTGTAGAGTTCTAAGAAATTACAAGAATTGGGTTCATCCAGAAGCAGGTTTCAATGAAGAAGTTGTTTTGGGATTGAAAAGGAAATCAGAAATGTCCTTTGATTTTGAACGCTATGTTGTCATTCTTTTTGGTGAGATGAGGATAAAGTCAAATCTTGTCTTTGACACACATAGTGATGAACTAATTGGTCTGCCTAAATATTTCCGATTTTTGGGAAGCTGTAGGCATACTAGAGATGCAGTGCAACTTGTGGGACATTGCTGCTACTTCTGATGGTGCATCTCCAAATCGTAGACTTTATCGATTGCATAAACTGCTAGATGGAGATGCCGACAAGAGTCTATGCTACCGTAGAATAAATCTGTATGCCAGGTACAGATTTATTTATTTTCTATCTGATGATCTACATCTCATAAAGACAGCAGGGAACTTTCTTTGTCATTCAGGAAATGGAAAATGGACTAGATATATGTGGAACAATGGATCATATATTATTTGGAAACACATCAGAACCTTATATATGGCAGATTTAGATAGACGTCTGAAGTTCCATCGTAGCTGCAATATTGAAGAATCATGGTCCGCCAAAAGCTGCTGGAACTGCAGAATACTGTAAAAGGATCGACAAGTCCTTTGACTGTTCAAATGTCAGGAACACAAAAGAATATCAGCAGAAGCGCAAGTCATTTCTAGCCCAATAAACCAATGCAAATGGTGAACGTTTTAATTGGTTGGAAAATGAATCCCTCTCTTATCTCTTTATATGGAAAGAGAATAAAGAAAAAGGAATGGAAATTTCACCCAAAACGCTAGAAAAAGAATGTTTATTTCAAGCCAGACAATGGAGGGGTTCCAAATTATAGTTTTTGCAGTAATTGAGCTGTTGAATATTTGCTGTCGCATGGAATGGAATATGTTTTAACTGAGAAGTTTTGTCGAGATCCTGTTGAGGGATATTTTGATGGTAAGAGGAAAATGGGTCGCTGGTCAGATAATGCGGACATGTACCAGGTTGGGTATAATAATAATGCTCTTTATGTTCAGAGAAATGTTGTAACCATCGCAGAAAACACAAAGGGCAAACAGTGGAATTCAAAGCGATCAGCATGGATAGAAGTAGACAACGAACCAATCCCGAAACGTAAATAACATTGAACATAACTTTAAATTTATAATGAAACATTAACCATTGCTGAGATCATAAATGTAACATGAAAGTATAGCTTCATGAAAATGTTTTGTTTATAACAGATTGTCATTCCTGAATCTAAGGGTTACTGCTGGACCTTCTAGTTTCTTGCTTAGTTTATCCTAGACTCACTAAGTTTATCGTTTACTTTGAATCTTTGGATAATATCCTTTGCATATGAACAAGAACGGACCCTAACATGCAATTTAGTAATCCTTGTTAACAAATCAGACAGTAATATTTTGTTGTAACAATCTACTTCGGAATCCTTTTAACCTGTTTTATAATGTGAAATTATTTCTGGGTTTTTTATACATTTCTCTGCAGTTTTTATACATTTCGCCTGGTTGATGAAAGATGTTATTTTTCCACCTTTACGAATCTGTATACAGTCCTGGCTTTCTTTTGTCATTTAATTTTTTTGATATTTTAAACTTTCTATGAAAGTTATAAAAAACATATCAACCTAGATAGCCAAGGGCATCTTCCTTTTCCTGGCTAAGCTTAATCTGGTTTGGGTTTAATGTGGCAACAGCATCTAATGATTCTTTGTAATAAATCAACAAGCCATCAGCAACTTTTGTGGCCAAAAATGCTGAAGCATGTGTCGTTAAAGGTGGAAAATAATCCAATGAGTGCAAAAAAACTTGGCATAGAATGCTGCATAAAAATTTTCCATATCACCTTGCTTTTGCAACATCCCATAAATCCCCTGTATATATTTGTACAGATTAGACTCTCCTGTTAACAAGAAACGAAAGCTTTTGACTTCGTCAATCAAAGGAAAGCATTTAATTTTTGAAGCTGTGGTTAATGCATTCATGGCAACATCATAAACTGTACCTGCAAAAATTTTTTCTTCTTGTGCATTATCATCTGCCTTCGTCTTTGTTTCTTTGGTTGTGTTGTGCTTTGCAGTTGTGTGCCTGTTTAAACCATCTATGCTTTTGCATTCTTTCTTGCACACAGAACAAATGAACTGACCGAATTAAACCTAAAGTAAGAAATATTTTCAACATTAAAAACGTCTTCCCTCTCTTGAATTGAATTGCCTTTTTCATTGCAAGGAAATTTAAATTCAAATGAGCTTCGCATGAAGCTTCGCTTCAAAAGGCCATTGGATATCTTCTTCTTCATCTAATGCATCTAAAATAGCATCTAAGTTTTCGCCATAAATGACAAGCGATTCAGAAATATCAGGCTTATTGCTCTTCCTCACAGATTCTCTTTCAGCGACAGCAATGATCCATAACTCCTGTGCACGGTAATAGTCAGGTGACATCCCCAAACAACATGCCCGCGGCATCTCTTGTCTCCCTTCCGCAGCATCTTCTCCGGCCTTCTAGATCATAGTCTTTCTATCGACTATGGTCTGTGCCATGCTTTTGGTATAAGAAGGTTACGTAGATTCGCGAATAAATTTTGCTTTCCCTCACTCCACCCGTCTTCTTCGCAGACGTCCACAGAAGCATAACAAATATCAACTGCTCTCTCATTCATAAAATAGGCTTACCTTTCCATAAACCATGTTTTTATTTGTTTCTTTATACCAAAGACTCGCCCCTTGTAAGTGCAGAAGCAATGGTGCCCAGTGTGCGATGATCAGCAGGATGCTAACCAAGATAGCTGCTTCGGAGGAGTTTTTGGATTTGAAAAACTTTTCGTTTGAACTTTAAAAGAATTAACTTTCATGACTGATTGTAATAATTCAAAAAGTAGAAGAGGTTTCAGCTTTTTTGGCCTATTTTGTAAGAACAATTTGAATACTGCCATGTTGATTACCCTTTGAAATATAGATAAACAAATTTACCCGGTGATAACCATTGCAGGGACAGATTTTTATCGTGCAGATGGAGTTTTTCCATTTTTTTCAAAAGACCAATTACAAGCACTACGTTACTAGTAAAAATCGAATTTTTTATTGTGACTTGTAGGTTTAAATTTCCTTTGCTGTCTTGAGAATGAATAACTTTTACTGGCCTGTAAAGCTATGGAATGGTTTGCCGCTAGTATCCTCACTGGTGATAAAAATTTCTAGATCCCTAATAAGCCATTCCTATAAGAAAGACTCATTTGTTGACTCGCTATTAACGTTTTGAATTGCAATACATGGTGAGATTTAATTCGATCTCTAGCTGCAATCTGCTCATGAAAATTTTAACGACTAGTTTCATCTGTCTGCCATAAGATAGACTAGAGTAATGATGAACCTGATCTTTGCAGCAAGGCTTATCTCAACACCAAATCTTATAATAAGGCTGTTCTTTACATGTGCTAATAAAAATTGAAGTGATCGACATAACATATTTAGAATGATGATAACTATTTATGTTATCATTGGTATTAATGTTAAAAAACGTATATTATCTGCTAATAGCTTTCAATACAGAATTACTATCAGCTAGTCATGATTACTGTTCATATTCATAATCTCTGTGATAACACATAAACAAGATAATTACTTAACACTCTTTTTTTCTAAAGCCGTAATTTCAACGAAACTGAATTCACGAAAATTACTGCAGGCATATTGTGATTACCCTGTATTAATTACATGAAAACGAATTAGGAGAGCAGGTGCTGGCTTATTTTATCGTTCTAAAGAACTGTGTGCAATGTTTCTCAATTTGTTTCTGATTAAAGTATTAAATAGACAAAAGTATATATATTTCATTAACTATGTTGAAGCTGAATTTTATACACAAAGTACGCATGAGGAAATTCGTAATTCTAAACATCTTAAGATTTTGCAGGCCTTCTTAAAATATACAATAAAACAGAGTGAATACGAATCAGTTAACTTAGCCTCTGGAAGGAAAAGTGTTTTGTTAATATCAGGCAGGCAACGATTCTTGGAAATTCAAAAAACTTACTTGCTTTTCAGTGACAAATGCTAGGAAAAAAGCTTATGGCGAGAACAGGTTGAATATACCCCTTTACTCTCACAAGAAATAGGTTTATTGGTTAATTTCGACTTTGGGGAGATGATTCTGTAAAGTTGGGGGCATTTTTGTTTCGAGACAGCAGAATTGGGCCAACCAGTAATAAACCACCATTGAGATTGATGATAGAGCAACTATGTTACTTGCAGATCTTTGCGTATTCCCAATTAACTAATCTTATAATGTATAATTTTCTATTTGAAAGGTTGGCTACCATGACCCTCCATCTCATCCTATCCTCAGACACTTTTTTAGCACTTTCAATGCTCTCACACCCGCTCCACTCCTTAACATCATCTCCCCAAGCTTTTCGTGGCCTTTCTCGATCCCTTTTTCCCTCTTTCATACCTTCCAGAACGAGTCTAGGTAAAAACCCAGATGAACCTCTCATTACATGCCCTGCAAATCTCATCTTTCTCTAAATTGATCTTCAACCAAATGTTTTCTGCTACCCACGATGCCAAGCACTTTTCCATATAACTTGATAAAAAGATCGCTAGTAAAAAAGAGAAGATGTTAAAAATGACGGTCCAATGAATAACCCTGAAACTGATTTATCATTTGATGGTATAAATAGTACCTCTTTCTATAATGCATTTATAAATTAAAATAAGACTAAGTAATCCTGTAGGTAAAACTGTCTTGAAAAGCAGTTGTGGAGTATAACTTTACTTTATTTGTCTATTCCCTGTTTTTGAGAAATGTCATTTCTTTCTAGGTGCTCCAACTGTTGAGGTGTATCCAAAATCAATACAGGTTCAAATAGGCAAAGAAGCCCGTGTGTCCTGCTCGGTTACAGGAACACCTACGCCAGCAATATCGTGGAAGAAGGTTGATGGTCATATGCCTCCACATATTATCGAAGGCGATCAGCTAGTCATTCCGAGAGTAAGCAGTGTGGATAGCGGAGTATACATATGCATTGCTAGAAACAGAGCCGGTAGTGCAGAGGATCAAATAAAGCTCAGAATAACAGGTAAGATTTTGGTCTGCCAAATGCATTCTTTTTTAAATTAATTGCTACAAAAGTGAATGATAACAGCGTTTTTTTAATAAGAGTTGCATTTTCTAGATCGATTTTTACTCTAGCAATGATTGGCATGATTAACTCCGATACTTTTTCTCTATTACCGAATTTCTCAAGAACGTACTTTTCAACTCTAACTCTTTAGAGACCAAAATTCCTGATATCCGTTTGATGCTCCATTATTGCGAATACCGTAGAAGCTCTATTAACCCTATCCAGACTAGGCTTTTTGAAACTTTCGGGAGACTAGGGGGGGGGGCACAAAGTGCCCTCCCTCCGTAATTTCCTTGTCCCTCTAGCTAGGACAATGAACTTTGTTTGGATGGTACTCTTATCTTTTCTCCACATTTTGGTAGTATTGTTCAATTTTTAAGTCACGTGGTTTTACGATGACGTCATCATAATGGTGGCCGGGTGAAGCAAAAATTTAGAAAATTTTAGAAAATCTTAAAATATTCATTAATTCCAAAGCATCAGGCTAAGATATTGAAATAAGCAAATTTGATGCATTTTATAATAGAAACAAGAAGATTGACACAATTTTAATGTTACTTCTCAAAATTATTAACGTTCCAAACAAAAGAACTCAACATATTTTGTATTTGGCTATAGTTTTTTCTATATAACTAAATGATCGATACAACCAAATGTCATGTTTGAGTTCATTTTTAATGCCTTAGCAGACAAATTATTCCAAACTTGCAGTTTTATTAATGTAATACCTATAAATATGCCAACAAATGTGTGCGCATGCGCAGCAGAAAAATCATAGAAAAGGATGTTGAATTTGAATTTTCTGGTCAGAATCATGAAGAGAGCGCAAATTAATGCCTAGATACTAATTTTCATCAATATATCTACTTTTGTTGCGAATCCGTGGCAGATTGAACTATTTTTTACTTGACTAGTTTTGAAAATGCCCCTACACAACCCCCTGATTAATAATAAAAAAATTATCTTTTTATATGAACATGTGTCAGACAGGTTAAAACTAAAAGTCAGGAGGTCTGAGGGGTATTGCTTTGAAACTCCAGAAATTATGTAAGAAAAATCAACTAGGGGGCACTTTGTGCCCCCCTAGTCTGGATAGGGTTAAGCCCCCGGGGGCTTCTTTATTCTTTTCAGTCCTAGAGGGGGGACGTTAAAGAGAGGGGGCTTATTAGAGAGAGGAGGCTTATTAAGAATTTAGAGTAAGAAATGTTTTAAAAATGCCCTTTTCTATTTCTTTGCTATAAAAATATCATAAAAATGTTCCCAGAAAACTTCGCTAGCAGCCCTGAAAGTCTAATTATTCAATTATAACGCCTTTTCTTCATCAGAGTCACCAGGATCAATTTATAACTCTGGGACATCTTCTAAACAATCTTTGACTGACTTCTTAGAGCCCGTTTACACTGTGCCGCAAAAATTGTGTCCACTTTGCCCTCCTATTTACACTGTGCCGAATAACCGCAGTCACCTGACTTAATCATGAACAGAACGCCCAAAATGAAGTCTTCTCTGGGCGACAAAATTTTAACAAAATTCCCGCCTATGTAAAAAGACTTCGTTCTCTCTTCAGAATCATCTGCTTCTCTTTTAGACCAAATCCAAAGATATTGTCAATAAAAATTAGGCCTAGTTTGTATTAATAGTTTGTTCAGGAAACAAAATGACACTGAACTAGCAACGAAACTAGAGAAAGCTGACAGAGAAATTTTACGTGGACTGGCAAGATACCAATTAAGTATATATCGACAACAAGGCAGCCAAGATGGCGAAAGGTCTTGATTGGGAGACAGTGAAAACTAAATTGAATGAAATAGCCAATCGCGTTCGAGCAAGATACGACAGGGATCAAATTTATCCGGATAAAAGGGTTTACAATGTAGCACATAGCTATCCAAACTAATTTAATCCACTTTCCTAGGTGAACTAAATTTGTTCGGATAGCCGCTCTCAAATTCAAGCGGATAGCGACGCCTATCTGAACTAATTTTGATGCGGATAAAATTTACCCGGCACAGTGTAAGCGTGGTCTTAGGCGTACAAGTAAGTCTTTTCATGGGCCGTATTCAATGCACACGATCTTATTATCATCACACCTGTTAAAAGACCCACTAAATGCGCACGTTTGCTTGTTTCCAACAAAGGCTAGCTTTTTTGTTTTTAAGTTTTTTGCTTGATAAGGAGGGGCTTGATAGATAGAGGGGGCTTGTTAGAGCTTCCATGCTGTCTTTAGAGTTTTGAAACGATAACTTCATAAAAACATTCGATTTCCGGCCTTGTTTTGAAAAATACTTCAAATCTCTTATACTAGATTTTTGACATAAAATTTAGATATAGGATCAGAATGGTATCCTTATGTAGGCATCGTGATGCTAGTGCTCATGATTTTGAAAGGACATTCTGTTTAACATTTTATAAGAGATTTCACCGTTATTAGCGACTGATGGTGGATAGTTTCACCCGGAACAATTTTTCCGATAATTTTTCGTATGTATTTTCAAGCTTTATGTCGTCATTAAATACAAAATACATGCACAAAAGATATGGAAAATCATAACCAGACTAAAAGTATGATATTATATTTTAATCAGATCTCAAAAGTGCCGTACAATAAAGTTGGAAAATTTTTCAAAACAGTTGTGAATAGAAGTGGAATTGAAATCTGCCTTGCGAGGTTTTAACCGTATCTTTTGATATGTTTTGCTATAACGACAATGCCATTTCATTTGCACTAACTTTTATGCGATTGTTTCCTCTCGATTTTAGATTTCCTGCCTCGTTTCAGTGAAGATGGTCTATCCTATATCATATATGGCAAAATTCTAGGTGCTTTGTACCAAACCAAAATTGAGATTTCATTTCGACCGGAAAAGCAAGACGGCATTTTGCTTTACAATGGGAAACCAAGTGCCGATTTCGTTTCACTTGGAATGCAGCGTGGCTATGTAGTTTTCCAATATAATCTTGGCTCTGGGCCAGCTTATATAAAAAGCCACGCTAGAATTGACCTCTTTAAATGGCACACTGTCATCGCTTATAGAGATGGATTAGACGGGACATTGGCCGTGGATTTAGACCCGATTGTATATGGAAAGTCCAAAGGAAAGTATACAGGCTTGAATCTAAATGGAGACCTTTTTCTTGGGGGCTATGCGAGCTTAGATGCGATCAGAATGCAAACGTCATACAATCGAGGTTTCACTGGCTGTATAAGCCAGTTGCTAATTGCTGGAAAGGAATTCAAAATCGGTAAGTTGCCTTATCACTATACAGATCTTGTGGCTTTTGTAAATTACGATTTTAACTGATGACGTCATTAAGCCCCAGACCATACTTTTAATCGTTACAAAGTTCAAACGATGCAGTTTGAATAGCGAAGTTGAGTCCTTTGAAGAGGCTGTGCAACAAAGTGCAACAGACCGGGCTTCTTGAAGCAAAAATTATGGCAGAAAGTCAACTTGATTTAATGTCGAATTACAGTCCGAAAAAGCTCGCACAAACGAACCATAAAGAAAATAACAATCTCTTTGGTCTCTAGCATCGAACAGTGGTGGCGCCAGGGGAGGGCTAGGGGGGGCTACAGCCCCTCCGTCGGAAGCATCTAGCCCCCCTCATCGGAGGAAATTTTAGGTTATTGTCGGAGCAAATTTGACAAAATAACGTACGAAAACTGCTTATTTTAGTAATTTTAGCCCCACTGTAGGAAGCTCCAGCCCCTCTGTCGGAAGATTTCTGGCGCCGCCTCTGGCATCGAACCTTACAGTGATAAGGTTGTCATGGGCTTTGAGGTAGAAGACGATGTCACCGTTTAGCCCGAATATACACGGTGATGTAATTGTGTGGTACTCCTACACAATACGGGAGCGGGTCTAGCAAGGCAACAGGTTTCTTCTAAAAGAGCATCAAGAATGTCAGTCTCATGGATGCTCGTGTAAGGCTTGTGTGAATGCTAAAAACTAAGCAGGAGTTTATGTCCAAATGTTGACGAAAAATAGTGTGAAAGGAGTAATGAACTTATCAGTTATTTGTCATGTAATTGAAGGATGAAAGGGATGTCTTCCTGTCTTTATCTGGGTCATTTTTATGTAGACAGATGCCAAAACTGCTAAGTGAAAAGACGACCTTGCTTGCCAAATAATGTAAATTTGTCGTCATTTTATACTTTAGCGCACCCTGGATTCTCGAGCGAATTGACACATGGTCTAATCGAATTATATTCAAGCATTTTGACTTTTCAAGTACACCAATTCTCTCTGAGAACAGATTTGTAACCTATGCTCGCAGAAACGTGTTGCTCAGATTTATCTTCCAATCTCTAAACAAAACGAGTTTCACATGGTCAAGAAAGTTCGTAAACAACGAACCTTTTTTGATTGGTAGAAATGCATTCCTTTTGATTGGATGAGGGTCTTACCATAATTAGATTGCCCTGCCAACAATTTCAACTCCCTTGTAAACTGCAACGTGGCTTCTCATACCTGATTAGTCTTTCTTGAAGCTGCTGGAAGGGTAATGATGGTTTCTGTCACTCCCCTTTTTTAACCAGAACATAATGTCGTATATTTATAATAGAAGTAAATTTTCAATACATTCCTCAATTCTTCATTTAGGCAACCGTTATCCAGAGAAAGGTTTTGCTTTCACCGTCTTCTTTGACGCTCTCGTTTTGTAAATTATAGATTTATTAGTTAAAAGAATGATATCTTTTGAGATCTTTAATCGCTTCTCAAATCAGAAACTGAAGCCAGCCACGCCAATTGGGGCGCCAACCTTAACTGTAAATCGCAAGATTCAATTTGTAGTGAACGCGTAGTTAAGTACTAGAGGCTTTTTAGTGGCAATAAAATTGGGCGATAATTGATAACTGGCCAGTTTAGGCTCGATTTCATTCAATTACTTAGATAATTTTGATATGTTTTTCATTCAAGAAACAAAACACATACTGTCCTGTGATTTGAATAATAAAGAATAACTGTCTGGAAAAAGGAATAGTCCATTAGAAGATGACAAGGGTCTTAACAATTGTATGAAAGAAAAATGAGCAACCACCAGGTTTCAGCAAAAGCTTTAAGGAAAACATTACCATACATACAGTAAACATTTACTGAAGACCTTTAGTGTCCATTCTAGATTCATTTAATGTAACTTTGCTGCAATATGTTCGTAGTCTTGAAATATCAATGTTTCTTTCAAAAACGCGTAACTTGGTTGGGGTAGTTTGATGCCATTTTGTCTTACCTTACCTTTCATCTACCTCTGTTGTTCCACAACCTTCTCCTTTAAGAAAGGTATCACTTTAGTTATTAAGGGGATCTAAGTGAAAATTTGTCATATTCATTTGAGTTGAAGAGTTTCTTAATAAAAATTATCCTTCTCTATTATATTAAACATCAAAATTCAAACGATCCCACAATTGCAGAAGAAACTTGAAATAACGACTTTGAAACGTCTTATTCTACACACTAAGTGTGTACATTTTTATCTATACAGTATCCATCAAGCACATTTAAGCAGTTAAACAGAAAGTGTTCTCCGTTACCTTAAGAACTATGAGCTTGAACTATGAGAAAGGCATCAAAATTATAAAAGCAACAAAGGGCTCAGAAGTGTTAGATACAAAAGAAATTCTTCAAAAAGGTCTGGTGAAAGAAAAACATTATAGGTATGAAATGATATTTATGAATAAAGAGCACCATTCCTAGTGTCCAGAAGAAGTAATTAACTCATGGGCTGTAAAAGAAAAGATTTAAGGGAATTTTTATTGTTTTATCATTTAGAAGTAGATGAATATGCTTGGCTCTGTTGTGATTTGTGACCATCTATCTGAGTTCAATGACCATCTTGACTGCTCTAGCATGAATTTCTCTCGCAAAAGCAGATTTATGTGGATGTTGTTAGCTCATGTGCTGTTGTCTGATTCATTTACCAATTAAAAGAGTGGAATAAGGAGGTGATGAAGGCAATGGTTCTCGCTCTGAAGAAAAAATGTAGCGATAAAATGTTTGCAGGATAATGTCATTTTGTATCTAATTTAAAGTCATAACACGATTTAGATCAGTTAGCAAAAATTTCCATTTTTTGGTTGGCTCCAATTTTTATAAGCTTAGAAAGATAAAAATAGCCTTGATAAACTTTCTTATCCCCTCGTTACTGAATCTTGGTTTTGAACCTATATGTAATGGCGTAGTCTTTTCGATACAAGTTCAGCTTTTGTAGACTGGTTGATTATAAACTCTCGATAAAAGCGGACACCAGGTTGAAGAAGCATTCTCATGGTTGTCAGTACGTAATTTGTAGTTTGATGAAAATTTAACCCAAAATGTCTGGTGAATTTGGATACAGTAGTTGGCCACAAGCCAAACCTTGCTCAACCCCAATCACAACTTAACGCTCTCGATAAGAAGACGTTTAATTGCCTTTATTGATCATAATCAAGAAGAGAGTTTATCTTGATCGAATAAGTTCTACATTATCGTAATGGTGTCAGTTAAAGAAGAGTATCAGTATAGACAGATGGTCGTCTGTATAGGTTTCTGATAGCCGTCTGCTTTTGCCTGGCTATGAATGGCTAGTTATTTTGCCACCAGATTGTTAAAACACATTAAAATTGTGTTGAATTTATTGAGTTAGTCTGTTTATCCACAAATGCTACTGTTTTTATTAATTAGATGGAACACACAACGAGGCTTTTGAATCTCTGTATGGTTACTACTAGGTGCAATAATCTGTCTAAAGCATAGCCCAGTTAAATGAGTGGCGCGAATGTCAATTTTAACATACTGTAATTCCGAAAAAGCTCCCGGGGGCTTATTTTGCAAAAGATGTTCTCGAATGGGGGCTTATTTGATGGGGGGCGTATTCAATGGTGGGGGCTTACTTAGCAGCATACCAAAATATTACAAGAACATTTTTTTGTACTCTTTAAAGTACCGCCATGCCCGGATAAACAGGTGCAGAATGGCAACTAACCTCGTCAAAAACTAATCGAAAAAATGGACAATTATAGAGTTAAGATATTTTGAAATATTGAAATAGTAAATACGGTTATATGTTGGAAAATTGATCAATATGTGAAGTGATAACTTTAATAAGTTAGACAAGTAATTCTATATGAAGTTTTTTCTTAAAATCAATAACCCCTCAATGGGGGCTTGTTCGAGGGTAGGGGCTTATTTCTCAAAAAATACTTTTGGTTGGGGCTTTTATCGATAAAGGTAGGTATTCGAAGGTAGGGGAAATTATTGGAAAGTTGGGGCTCATTCGAGGACTAACGTGATTTTTACATTAAATATATATGATACAAGACAACTTATGAGTTTGTGTTGTAGAGAGAAGGCTTTTTCAATAGGCACGAGCAATGGCCACGTCTTTTATCAAAATTGGAAAATTGTCACGATGACTTGAGGATTCAGAGTTGGAAACTGTCTCGTTAAGACTTAGACAGCAGGTTAAACAGATATCTGTCTTGTTGTTTTAGACAATGTATAAACTTAGTATCTTCACCGTTGTGGAATACCTGTCATTCAGTTGTTCTGCTGGTATTGTTTTTGCCAAAAAGCTTCTGATCTGTATTTGCTTCAAAATTTGCCAATTTGCTCTGAAAACAATCTGGATAGGCAAGATAAGATGTCTGGTTATGTTATTCTCTTTGCGATTCAGTTTTTGAATTGACTGGTTATTTGTTATCTTTACGTCTCCCATAGCTAAATTGTCGATTTGACACATATCACAAGCTTAGATACCATTCTTACTTTATGGAGCTTCTCTTAATTAAACCACACTACACCTATTATCCCACCAGCGTACCTATCAGGGGCGGATTCAGACGGTGGCACCGGTGGCACGTGCCACGGTCAGATTTCCAAATTTAAATTTTTGGAAAATAATGGACTGTTCTAGATATCCCGATATGTTTCTTGCTGTCTAACACTTCCCCTTCGCTCCAGCGTCTATCTACCACGCCCCCTCTCCGATGTTAATTTAGTAGTATGCCATGTTGGATTTGCTTATTGTTTGCCTTTTGTTAACCACAGAATAATTGGCTCTACCAAATATGGATATTAACAATCGTGCCACACTAGATATAAATAGAAGTATGCGCGCACATTTTTAAACAATATTTTTTGAGACCAAATGGCTGTGCTTTTGTTCTTGTGCCACGGTCGAGGCTCTGTATGCTTCTGTTGAGGCCCGAGAAATGTGGATTGAAATCAATTGCATCGAGGCTCCGTATGTTCTTTCATTAAGTG